GACATCGAAATTTTCCATATGTTAAATTCAATAAATTCCCCAGAGCGTAATCCAATAATATTCACATTTTTGCCAATTTTTTTTAATATTTAGATTTTTTTAATATTTAGATTTTTGCCAAAGAGTTGCCTGCGGAGGAGGCTACGTTGTTCGATCACCCATGCAATTTTTGTCTCTATAAATAAGAAAAATAAATCATACAGAAAATTCATTAATCTTGTTATTATCATTCCAAATTTATCATCATTCCAAATTTAATCTTGTTATTAATTATCATTTCAAATTTCAAACAACAGTATAATTACAAGAATGGCAAGGAAGAAATGAAGCAAAGCTTATTAATATATATACGGTATATATATATATATATATATATATATATATATATATATATATATATATATATATATATATATATATATATATATATATATATATATATATATATAGTGAAATGTTGCTGATAACAAGATACAAGTGTTGTATATAGAAAAGGTTTCAATGTGCAACCAAAAGAGACATTTATAAAATAAAATAAAAGCCACTCAAATTTTGCACAAACGTTTTCGCTTTAATGTTAGCTCCTCAGGTGCATATTTACAATGAGTGGAATTTAGTTTATCTATTATCTACGTTCTATGATATCATATTATAATAACTATGTTAGGAATGCATATATTTACATGGTGTGAAGTCACCCGTTAAAAACATTCTATTGATCTAAAATCTATCTAAATGTAAGCATAAACTTAATGGTTTTTTAATTAGCGTTCAGATCCGGATTCAGTATATTGATAAGTTCTTTTTCTTTCATCTTCCTAAAAAGTCTGTCCGTGTTAATGCATTGATATATAGGCATTATTTTGAAAATTCCGTTGTTACACATATTTAAGTGTTCGCTTACTTTTAGATGTCTATACTCTTCGTGTCGAATTTGTTCCTTGTGCAATGTCACTCTTTTTCGTAAGTTTTCTGTCTGGCCGACGTAGAAGCTGTCGCATTTTGAGCAAATGATCACGTAAATGACATATCTCGCTTTGCAGTTCATCGTTGAATTGACTCTCCAGGTTTTTCCGCTCTTTAATGTAACAGACTTTCCTGTGATTAAAACATCGCATGTTCCACATCGCTTTTCCTCGCATTTTGTTACACAGTGTTCTCTGTCCTCTGAATTGAATTGTGCTTTTGTCAAGTATCGCTTCAAGTTCTTCGGTTGGCGTTTGCTTACAATGAGTTTTGTTCTGTCTAATACTCGTTTCATTTTCTCGGAATTGTTTAGAAATTTAAAGTTCTCCCTTATTTTTCCAATTACTTGAGGATTGTTGGGATTATGAGTTATTACTAAAGGCAAGACATTGTCATCAGTTTTATGTTTTGGTGCCCTCAATTCCTCAATGTTTTTTGATGAAGCCTTCTGTATTCCGTTTTTTATAAGCAATTTCGGATAGTTCTGCTTTTGTAGGAAATATTCTAGTTCATCAAGACGCTTCTTCTTTAAATCTTGATTTGTTACAATTGCACAGATCCGTCTTGCCAGTGTGTAGGGAATGTTTGATTTTGTATGTCCAGGATGACATGAATGATAATCCAGATATTGGTGTGTGTCCGTTTGTTTGTAATGTATATCACTTTCTAACCGTTCCGCGTTCTTGTAGAGTAGTATATCCAAAAACGGTAGTTTCTTATTGTCATATTCCATCGTGAACTGTATTTTTGGATGAAGTGAATTTAACATTTTATGAAGTTCCTCGAGTTCTGCTTCTGTCTTCTGCCAGGGTAGAAAGCAGTCGTCTAAGAAACGTTTAAACAATTTCACGAAGTTTTCTTTTTCGTCCTGTCCATACTTTTCCTTGAACCTTTCGTACAGTTGTGTCTCAATGAAACCCATAGTTAATGTGGCGTACGTTGGTGCCATTTTAGTGCCCATTGCTGTTCCTTGTATTTGTTTATAATTAATGTCATCAAATTGAAATGTATTCTCCTTTAGGACAATTGAAATGGCCTCCAAAATAAATTCTTTAGGGAACGGTCGTGGCAATGATTCACGGTGTTTGTCCAACCAATGTTCGATTGCTGTGAGTCCAAGATCATGTGGGATACTTGTATACAAGCTGATGACGTCGAATGATACCAATATCGTTTTCTCGTTTATATTTGTAGGTATTTTGTTCAGAAAATCCATACTGTCCCGTATAAAACTTGGTACATGTTGGCATAATGGTTTTAAAATCAAATCGACAAAATTGCTTAGTCTATGTGTGGGCGATATAGGTCCAGCTACTATAGGTCTCATCTTTAAGTCCGCTGGTGGTTCCAGTTTGATATAATCATTGTTTTGGTCGGTGACAGCATCTGTTATGGTTTTTGATTTGTGTATTTTCGGTAATCCATAGAAATTTGATGTTTTCATTAGGAAATTTGTGATGTACTCTTTCTCGTTCTCAGTAATGAAGTTTCCAAAGTTTTTAATAAGTCTCTTAATCTTTCGTAAAATGGCTTCGTCCTCGTTTTGCGATAATTGTATGTAATTCTCTGTGTCGGAAAGGAGGTATAGCATTTTGTCTCTATAATAAGATTTGTCCATTACCACCGTTGTTCCCCCTTTATCTGCTTGTTTGATTATGATTGTGCTGTCGTTTTTAAGGTCTTGAAGAGCTTTCTGTTCTGCTGTAGATATGTTACATTTCCTAGTTTTCCTCTGGGATTGTTGTTCAGTATATATATATATATACTGTTTAATAAACGAGCAGGAGTGTTTTATTAGGTTTAAAGTGTCTTATCAGGTTTAAATCCACTGCACGTGACATATTATGGTTGACGTGATTTGTCAATTAGCTTATGAATTATTAATGAGTGTTTGAAATATATAAATATATATATATATGTACTATTTAAAGCACGCGTAGGAGTGTTTTATCACATATAAAACACGACGCGTAGCGGAGTGTTTTATATGTGATAAAACACAACTACAAGTGCTTTAAATGGCTTAAAAAACGACTCAGCTTATACGAGTTCATTGGCGAAGTAATTTTTAAAATAAACTTTGTCTAAACCGAGAAAATTAAAGCTAAAGTTTATGTAAATTAACATGATTTTATATCACATATATAACCACGACACGCTTATGATTTTTCTTTGTGTTTTGCTCCTGAATTATTAATAATGAGTTTTTTAAATATATATATTGTCAAAGATTTGATTTTTATATCTGTTCTGAAAATTTTTTTTTATTTTCTTAAGTCCTAATTTTATATCGTTTAACAAAATGTCATATATTGCTTGTCCAAATTAGCGAATGTGTACTTTGCCTCCGTAAATTGCTAAAACACAAATCAATTAGTGACACATAACTCGTGTATCAATTAATGCAACCTCGTAAAAATCAAAAGCACTTAAAATGACGACAAAAATGCTAGAATGTAAATTGTTACTAGTCAGAGTTTCAAAGCCAGAAAAATTCTACTAGTACCGTCTTATTCCATGCGTTTCGTCTTTTGAGTTTATCATGCGCAATTCTCACACAAGGAAGTAAGAAACCACCTCTCAACGGAACAAGGTCCTTATCAATGTCATTATATATTTCTGTATAAAATCAATATCCACGAATTTCCAATTGTGTAGAGAATATATATATATATATATATATATATATATATATATATATATATATATATATATATATATATATATATATATATATATATATATATATATATATATATATATATATATATATATATATATATACATACAGTATAGGACTTTTGCATCTACTGTTCCTTATTTTGCACGACCCGAATTTCATCCAAGAGAAAACAGAATTTCCTGAAAATTAAGCAGGCATATAGGAAGTTGTTCCATCAATTGAAAAATTGCTTTAAATAAATTGCAATTCCATGCCTTTGTTTTAATTATATTTAGGTGTTTCTGCTCGTTGTTGGATGCATTATCTTTGCAGATGCGCGAAAACTCAACAATTTCTTTTGGGATGATTACAGGTATTTTAAAATTCATTAAATCTAGTATAGTAGTGTAAACGTGCTTATCTACAGTGGCTTTTAAGGCCGACTGCCAACATCAAACTTTTCATGCGCCAAACAATATGTAAATTATGGGCTGAAACAAAAGCTGAATTACAAATGTTTACAGCAATAAGTATTAGTTTGTAATATATAAGTTTACATCTAAAATTCTTATTGGGCTATATAAATTTACATCTAAAAATCTATTGGGCTAAGGCTGACGTAACTACCGAAATTCTTTGACCAAAGTATTATTTTTGCGGCAGCATAACACAACTGTGTTTACATAAACACAACTGTGTTTACATTTTGTATATTAACTATTTTACGGTAACTAACGCGGGTATTTAAATTAGCGATTAATTAGCCTACTCGCCGAAGGTGAGGTGATTATAGCGGGTAATATAGCGTAAAAACCGAGACGATGTCGAGGTTTTTATTCACGATAATCACCGTGCTTAAGGCAAATAATTGTTTTAGTATAATTTCAAAGGTGATTATTTGGAGAAAAAAAAAGTTAAAATACACATTTCTTCGTCATTTAATAAACAAGACGGCTTAGGCTGCCATTTTGAAAATCGCTTAGCTGATTATCGCGTTATAATCACCTCAACGGCAACCAATCAGGGTTGAGAATTTTCTGTAATCACCTATGTGATTTTACTATTAAAACATAATACAATGGAAACTCCAGAACAATGATATTTTTATTCAACATTTCGACTAACCCTTGACCATCATCATGAATGACTCAGGAATTAAAATTCATTGATGAATGCTAAAAAACATGTCATTTTTTTATTTTTCATTGTTTTATATTATATTATATTATATTATTTTATGTTCTTTCCATAATTTCATGTATTTGCATTTATATCTGCATTTATAAACTTTTATAGTGTGTAAGAAAACCAAAAAGCGGTTTAAGTACATAAATTAGCACTTATTCTGGAATATTGAAAATTTATATTAAGCATGCCATCTATATCTTTTAACAGCCATCTTGAACTGACCAAGCGATATCCAGGCGCCGAAGATTTGTGTCGCCAAAAGTCAGAAGCGGAAAGAATACAAATAAAAGGAGATGCCAAAATTGGAGACGAAATTCGCAAAATGAACTATCTAGAAATATGGAACAAAAAGGCGCCATGCAAGCTCAATACCAAAAATTCAAAGACTAAACGTTTGGAGAACACTGTTGGATGCCAAGCAATAACCCATACCGTTTATATAGATGGAAAAAAGGGTACAATTATTGTTGGTTGTAAAGCTGTCTTCTATTGAGTAGATGCACACAGGAAAGGAAAAAGATGCTGAACTAAAACTGGTGAATTTACCTCGTATCAATTATTTATGATATTTATGGATTAATTATGGATTAAATTATAATTATTTCATAACCTATTTAAAGCGAACTTCAATTATTTATGAGCTCGACAACTCATTTTGTATGGATATTGTATTTTATGCTAATTATTATTGAGCAAGTGAATAAAGAGAGTGTAGATTCATTAATTTTTATCTTCTTTTTCGCCTTTCATCCCATGAGATTTATCATTTGTTATTATGTACATATTAAAAATTTGAATTAAGTAAAGTCAAACCTTTATAAACAGTTACCTCTTTTAAGGCTGAGTCGAGCCAAGCTATAGTCGGGGTCACTGATAGTCAGGAAGAGACGTTATCTGCGCTGAAACATATATTAGCTTGCAGAAATCGCCACGAAATCATGTTCATGGGTGAATACTGCAAGTTTTGTCACGAAAATGAAATTATGTTTTATTGGGCAATTGCGAAGTTTCCAGAAATATGTCTATATATTTGTATAAATACGAGAGGTAGCTATAAGTGAGATCCCAAGCAGACGTTTCTTAGAATAACACAAGCGCGGAAAACGCTAGATAATGCGGTGTAATTATGGTTTTATGAAATTTGTTGGCTCGCCAGCGACTGGCATTGCGCCACAGGACATCGCATCGCTATAACATGCAAGCCCTAGGGTGGGCTGGGCTTAAGCGGACACAAACCACTTGTCGAAATGTTAATAACACTGTTATTAGAATAAATTTGCGGGCGTTGTGGCTTCTATTGCGGGCTAAAATGAACCAATTTGCTTTTTAGCAATGTTAATTTTTTGAGCTGTATAAACAAGAATCCACTCCCGAAAGCAAGGGAAAAAAAATTTATGCCGTGGCAGAAACTATACACATGAAGTGACGGAGTGAATTAAAAGCTTGTCATTTTCTTTATGTTGTTACATTGCGTGTGTATATATGGAAACACACATGTTTGGTTGATTGGCATGGGATATTGGTACTAATTTCACTGCATGGAATCATCAGGGATATAGTTGTATATTTCTGATATTACCTTGAAACACCTAAAACTACATTCCCAAATATTTTAATTTTTTTCTTAAATCGGCCTGTATCGCATAAAATCTAAAATCGGTCTAAAATCGCATTATCTTCTCACTCGTTTGTCAATATATAGATCCGGCTCCGAAAAAGACCAAATGTTCTCGTCTGTTAGAACGGTCGTTAAATAGTCTGTATACAAGGCAGATTCTCTTTATAATTGTCAAATAACTCTTTATTTCTTACCGATTTAAAAATACAAAACACGCTGTCTTAAAATCAACACTAAAAGACGCCCGCATTACGCAAGAGCAGCGGTTATATATGTCTTTACTTTATATTACAGGGAACGATTCGTTCCTTAACATCCCCCTCCCGAATGCAATTCATTCGAAATAAGGTTAGCATGAACATAAATTTAAGTCTGCGAACGTCTGTTCGATACCAAGTATGCGCATATAACTATAGGATACAATAAAGTTGTCGTGAACTATTGATTACTGTCTATCATGCACTAGTGTCTTCTTATATTCTTCGATATACTCAAGGGGACACAGGCGATGTACAGGTATAATATACTCTTTGCTCTTTGACTGCACTTTCACAGCTCTCATAAGGCCGTCTGCACAAGGATAGGTTTCCATTACACGACCGAGAGGCCATTCTCCGCTGTTGTCCTTAGGTTCTGCAATCAGCACCACGTCTCCTTCCTTTAAATTGTGTTTTGGATGAAACCATTTTCTTCTGACGTTGAGACGAGGAAGAAATTCTTTTCTCCATCGTTTCCAGAATTGTTGCAGCAGTTGTTGCACGCGATGCCATCGTTTTCTTGGGTTGTACACTTCTGTTTTGTCCAGTGCTTCTGGGGCGAATGATCCTCCAATTTGTCCAACGAGGAAATGATTCGGTGTAAGTGGCGAGAGATCGTTGGGATCTGAGCTAACGTATGTGATTGGTCTGGAATTCAACAGTCGTTCAGCTCCGCATATGGCTGTGTGTAGTTCCTCGTCTGTGATATCTGCATCTCCCAATATGGCTTTGATTGCTTTCTTCGCACTTTTAATCATCGCCTCAAAGACTCCGCCAAAATAAGGAGCAGATGGAGGATTAAACTTCCAGTCGACGGGATGATGCTTGCTGGTACCTTGAATGATCTTGTCGTGGTCGAGGGCTTCAATCAATTCTCGCATTTCACGTTCTGCACCAGCAAAGTTCGTGCCATTGTCTGTGAGAACATAGGTAGGCGTCCCCCTCCTGGAAGACATACGGGTAAACGCGTTGATAAGCGAGTCCGTATCTAATGAATACGACATTTCCAGATGGACTGCCCTCGTTGCTAAGCAGGTGAACAGGCACAAGCACCGTTTCGCTCTGATCTTACCACGTCCTTGTTTTGTTAAAAAAGGACCTGCATAATCGATTCCAATTCTGTCGAAGGCTCGCAACGAATACAATCTCGCCTTAGGTAAAGGGGCCATTTGACCGGCTGTTTGCATATAGAAAATCTTCGTCGGCATTCTGGACAAGACTTGATGATGTTCCGTACTACACGCCGTCCTTTCACAATCCAAAATCGCACTCGCAATTGTGTTAAAGTATGTTCTATACCAGACCCATGGCCAAGTGTCTCATGTGCATCAAGAACTACAAGGCGTGTCAGGTGGTGATTCTTTGGCAGGAGGATAGGATACTTTGTGTCGTATGGGATGTCTTCAGCGAGACGTAAGCGTCCATTAATACGAAGTAGGTCATTATCATCTTTTGTTGGGTTTAATTGGACCAGGGACTTTTCATTTATGCCTTTAGGAAAAGTTTCTGTTTGCGTGTGTTTGATCCAAAACGTCTGAGCATCAGAGATCTCAGCAGAGAAAGCGTTCTTTCATAGTTTCGTCCAGATTTCCCTCGAATCTTACAATTGGCGATGAACCGCTTAATCCAACCCGTCACACGATATAGACGTTTGAGGCTTGAGAAGTGTGTAGGATCAATGCTAGTAAATTCATAGTTTTTAGTTGCATATTTCTTCGTGGTTGATCGCCTTTCACACTGGTCAGATTTCTGTACGTCTTTACTAGGAGGTGTGGTTGGCCAAGCACTTTCAACGTCTTTTAGGAATGATGGTCCTTCCATCCAAAATTTGTCCTCACTAAGGTCTGCCACTGATAAACCTCTGGTTAGTAAATCTGCTGGATTCTCCGTTCCCGGTAAGTGCCGCCACTGTTCTGGACTTGTTGTACGCTGAATTTCCCCAATTCGATTAGCTACGAACGGTTTAAATTCGCGACTCTGGTTACGTACCCAGTAATACACATTTTCTGAGTCTGTCCAATAGATCACTCTGTCCACGGTTAACACGTTTAGGATACTTGCGGCTAGACGGCTTGAAAGAACAGCTCCCATTAGCTCTAGGCGGGGAATTGTCACCACTTTCAAAGGTGACACACGGCTCTTTGACGCAATGAGACGCGAAGTGGAGGGGTTGTTGTTGTACTGACAAACCAAATAGGCAACGGAGGCATAAGCATCTTTAGAGGCGTCGGAAAAGAGGTGCAGGTCAACCGTCTTTGGGTTTGGTAGGCGTAAACATCGTGGAATGGCAACGCACGATAAGCTCTGGAGTTCAGATATCCAGTTTTCCCATTTCGTGCTAAGATTACTAGGTAAGACATCGTCCCAATCTAACCCTGCTGCCCATATTTCTTGCATGATAATCTTGGCGCGGATCACGAATGGTGCCAGGAACTGAAGTGGGTCATATAGGGTGGCTATTGCACTTAGAACGTTTCGTTTGGTAGGATTGACACTCATATCAGGTTGCTTGGTTTGGAATAGAAAAACGTCTCTCGCTGCTTCCCACGTAACTCCTAAGGTCTTGGTTTTAGCAAGCTCTCCGTTGTTGATCTGGATTGCAGGTAGACGATCGCCCACGGGAATGTTTTCTATTACTGCTGCCTCATTTGATGACCACTTTCGCAAGTTGAATCCAGCTATGGATAACATGTCGGACAATTGACGTTGCAAATTTTGTGCACTCTCCACGGTTTCGCTAGAATCTAATAAATCATCCACATACATGGAATTGTCAACGGATTCGGCTGCCTCCGGATATTCTCTTTTGTGGGCTTGTGCGTGGGTTTGGAGAACGTACTGTGAGCAGAATGGTGATGCCGTGTTGCCAAACAACAATCGCGAAAACTCATAGACGTTATGCTCTTTCGATGTATCAAAATCTCGCCACAGGAACCTATGTTCCGGAGACCAACTTGTAAAAACATTTCGGAAATATCGGCAGTAAGGGCTACTGGGGCTCTACGGAAACGCGTAAGAACATCCACAACCTCTCTTTGCAGCTTGGAACCTGGTCGTATTGCATCATTCAAACTTTTGCCTTCGTGTTTCATCGCAGCATCGAACACCACACGGACCTTCGTCGTATCTTTATCAAGTCTAATAACGGGGAAATGCGGAAGGAACCATTGCTCCTTTGTCTCGGATTTTGGTACCTCCTTTATGTAATCTTTCTTCTCATACTCTTCAAAGACATGACTGTAGGCTTTCATAATGTCCGGGCCTTTTCTTTTTAGAGATTTTTCCTGAGTTTTGAGTCGTACCAAAGCCGCTTCGTAACTGTTTCCCAACTTTGGTTCGCCTTCTCTCCATGGAATTCCCACCGTGTATCGCCCATTCTCAAAGGTAAGGGTCTCAGCGACTTTTGTCATTGCTGCCTTTTCTTCGACTGTCATCTGCTTGCCTGATTCTTCCTTGATCCCTATTGACTCAAGTTCCCAGAACTTTCTCAGAATGTCATCGGGTGGTGGTTGCTTGCTCACTTGGTTGCTGCGGTATGTCCGAGTAAAGTGAGACTGGGATTTCTGACGGAATTCCTTCACTAATGTAGGACCAAAGCATACCCAGCCAAGGTTTGTCAATCGTGCTATTGGATCGTTATGTCGACTACCATGAATTTCCTTTAACACCAAATGAAACAGTGGATGGTCACTGCCAATCATGACATCGATGTAACGTCGTCTGGATACATTCTCAAATGGGACTTGGCGTAGATGTGGCCATTTTTCTTTCAATTCTGACCACTGAAATGCTGGCGTGTCACTGGCGATGTTGTCTAATACGTGTGCTTGCAAGGGTGCTGTGAATGTCCCATTGAGACTAGTCACTGACAGTTCCACACGTCTTGACCGTTTCTGAATCTCTGTTCCGCCTGTTCCTGCAATTGTCAGATTTAACGATTGCCCTTGCAGCTCCAGCTCTCCTGCAGCATGTTCCGAAATATAAGAACTTGTTGAACATGGATCTAACATTACATTGACTTTCAACTTCTTCTGACCATCGCTGATAATGGCTGGAAGAACCATTAATGAAACATTATCAGACTTACTCGTTTTGTGAGTTCTCTCTTGCGTGGATGATTCGTCTCTCTGTTGGTTATTGATGTCCATTCTACCAGACTGTTCGGTTCTTGCTTCTTGAGCTGGTGGCTGTCTTGGATAGAAGGTTGGCGCATCTGGTTCTAACTGCTGTCTAGCATTTGTTTTTCCATTCTGTGGGGTGCTTTCATGAAGATAACTGCTATGGTTGTTGCTCTGGCATCCGTCAACTCCGCATTTTCTTGCTTTACGACAATCTTTGCTGTGATGCCCAGCTGCCAGGCACCGATAACAACGGCTGCTTTTTGAAATTAATTCCTTTCTCTTCTGTACAGGGAGTCTCTTGAAAGCATCACAAACCCATGGTGGATGGTCTTGTTTGCATGTGCTAACAATACAATGTCTGGTTGAAAATCGTGTGTTGAATCCTCGGAAACGCGGTCGTTCATCACGATTCTTGTTACCCCGTTCCTCATTCTTCTTACCAAATCCTTCAGTCTCCTCTCTCGCTTCCCCAATGACTTGCACTCTGAGTTCCACCCAGTCTACCAGCGATTCGAAGCAATCTTCTCGAGCATAGTCTATCAACCAGTATTTATACGCTTGAACATCCCGTTCGGTTAGCTTTTCTTTTGCTGATAAGTTCAGGCTTTGATCTTGTAAGGATCCACAATTGTTGATAGTGATCAAAATTCTCTCTAGTAGGGCTTGAAATTCTTCCAAGTCTTGTAAATTGTGGGACCGAACCTTAGGCCAATTACGCAAAGTTGTAAGCTGCTTTATTTGTTGTCGCCTCTCTCCCCCATACCTCTTCTCTAACTTCGACTTTGCTCGTTCATATGCAGCGCTTGAATATCCCAAATCTTTCACCAAGGTCAGTGCTTTACCAGCTAAACAGCTTTGTAACCTGAGCATTTTTTCACCAACTGGAATGTTCTGCACATCAACCATTGCCATAAATGCTGCCTTCCAGGGCTCATAATTGGTTTTATCCTCTCCAGAAAACTTTGGAAGGTCGACTCCTTTCAACTTGATGGGTGATCGGGTTATTGTTTCAACTGGTACTCCCTCAGGCGATCCTGTTGTAAAATTATGTTTCGTAAGAAAATCCTTTACAGTATCACAATCTTCGACTAGTTGTCGTTCCGCATTTTCTGCCCGTGACTTATTGAGCTCAGCTACTTTTCTTGCTTCCTCTGTTCGCTGCTTGGTGAGTTCAAGTTCAGCTGCTAATTTTCTCATCTGTTGTTCTTTCTCTTGTTGTTCCTTTTCCATTCTTTGCAATCTGTCATTCGCATTCTTAGCTTCTAATTGTTTCTGCTCTACATGTGAAGGTGTTGTTGAAGGTATATTGGGGGGTACTTTGGAGGGTACATTGGAGGGTACATTGGAGGGCACATTGGGGTGTACATTGGAGGGTACTTTGGAGGGTACATTGGGGGGCACATTGGAGGGTACATTGGAGGGTACATTGGAGGGTACATTGGGGGTACATTGGGGGGTACATTGGAGGGTACATTGTGGGGTACATTGGGGGGTACATTGGAGGGTACTGAATCTTTATCCACACTAACATGCGATTTAAGTGAAAGTAATACTGACTCGGTCTCCCCTGCATTAATTCTATCTTCTATATGTTTTTCTGCTCCTTCAATAATTACATCAACTGAATATCCAATGTCCTCTAACTCTTTGTCTAATGTATATATTACTGTATTAGTCTCTTCATTATCCTCAGTCATGGAATACACTCCTTTCAAACTATCGATAATCTTCGTAATAATATTCATCTCAGAATTAATTTTATGTACGGCTCTTCTTACAGCATTCTTGCTAGGTAGTGCAACATCTTGTGGTCGATTTTCAATAAGGTCACTCAACTGTTTTTTGGCTTTAGTCATTCTACTTTTGGCTAATTTCTTATTATTTCGTAGACTTTGAATCTTTGTACTTACGGTACTTCCACTTTTAACGCTTTCTTGGTCAATAAGGTCAGCTTGCATAGTTGTCGTTGTCTCAGATATGTCTTTTTCCTGCCCTTCGGCCATGTTTGTCTTAGTTGACGCCATTTTGAAATCGTCGAACAATCGTATTAAAATAGCAAAATTTCTCACTCGTTTGTCAATAGATCCGGCTCGGAAAAGGACCAAATGTTCTCGTCTGTTAGAACGGTCGTTAAATAGTCTGTATACAAGGCAGATTCTCTTTATAATTGTCAAATAACTCTTTATTTCTTACCGATTTAAAAATACAAAACACGCTGTCTTAAAATCAACACTAAAAGACGCCCGCATTACGCAAGCGCAGCGGTTATATATGTCTTTACTTTATATTACAGGGAACGATTCGTTCCTTAACACATGGTATTAATTAAATATCTCCTTGCAAGAACAATTCATTCACAAATAGCTGCAATATTCACTGAACCGTACTAAGTTTGAAACTTGTGCATGCATGCATGTGCTCCATAGAAATAATAGATATAGAATGCGTACTCCTATCTTTTCTCAGTGAAAAATTTGTCTCCACAAAATGGCGGATTTATAAGGGCATCTTGGTTCCCAGACTCCCAGGCGGCAGGGAATTTCACAGACTAGTCCCAAGTCCTCCTTTGATTTCCGTGGCGTCACCTCATTAATATGCAGAAACGCGCAATAGGCATACTAAGAGGCCTAGGGACTAGGCTGGGAATTTCAGTGGGAATTTCGCGCGGTTGCAGAGAGTGCAAATTGTTTTTTCAAATGCAAAGTTTGCAAAAATTTTATATCGAGACTTAAAATGGAAAAAAAGTGAAAAAAGTGTCTAAAAACCCATTCTAGTGTTTTTTTTTACGAAAAGCAACAGTTCTGAACAGAATATATACAGAAATCATCGTTTAAAAATAAATTTTCAACGTTGTTGTGCAAGCCAAAACAAAACCCGAAAGATCAAGACAAACTCAAACTCAATAGGTATGTTCTATAAATATTTCAACTTTTTTATAATATACGAAGAAAGAACTATAATTTTGTAATCTTATAAGATATTAGCAAAACAGTGATTGTAGTGACGTTCAAAGCATGCAAAAATGTTTTATGAGTAAATTTCGAGAAACCGGCGAAAATACTTTGTTTACAAGGCTGCACGATTTTCACCGTTTTTGTAACTGCACATTTGCTTTGACAGTTTGTGCCGGCCTTCAAAAAACTCAAAATCTACCCCCCAAACTAGTACAAATTAGACAACAAGATAAACGTTTTGACGATGAAAACGTAGTTTTAGCTTTGTTTATACTTTGTAGTTTGCACTCCTAGTCAAATTCAAACATGGCGGATTTATAAGGGCACGCATGAGAAAAAGTGGAGACATGATTCGTGATCAAGTACGCATTCTATATCTATTATTTCTATGATGTGCTTCCATTCTTTGTGCGCTTAGAGTTTAAGGTTTAGAGTTTAATTTACGGTTTGCAAAGGACAACCTGTTCTTAAATTGGCTGTATACGAATGACATGAGAAAACGTGTATTAACTTGCATGAATAGTTGAAATTCGAGAACGCATCAACGAGCACATGATTTTAGTAATGCAACGGGGCAACTTGATCACGTTAGAGAATCAGTGAACTCATTATATTTAAACTGGAACAATAATGTCAGTCCATCTTGTACAAGCTTAATTGATAAAGTTCAGACGAGACCATTGGGTTAAACATACAGTATATAATAAATTTGGTTAAACATACAGTATATAATAAACCCTTACCTTTCGGTAAGGGTTTATCTGTTATAAAAATTGAGAAACATACTATATGCAGAATAGGCAGCCCAGCCAATATAATTGACAGGACTGGTATCTGTCCAATAGTACGTCGTAGGATAATCACGGTCGGTTAATCCAATCCACCAAGAGAAAGGTCGCAGTCTGGTCAGACGTGTTTTAATATACTCTGCTATTGTTGCAGTACTCATACTTAGTAAATCAGCTTTCTGTTCTAGACAGTAAGATCGTGCATCTAAACAAAAAAAAAGATTACCATCACCATACACTATGATGCAAATCGGGTGTTATCGATTCGTAAAACTCGATTATCGAATTCCAAATTGGTAAAAAAAATTCAGCTGTATATTCCCAACAAACTCCTCCACTCTTTGGAATCTAACCATCAATTAATAGATCTTGTTTGACATATTGTAATTGTCGTTAACAAATCATGGAGGAAATATAAAGAAAAACATGACCTTGAAGGCGTTTCAATATCTAATACAAAATCCTGCAGGGTGACTTAAACTTTGAAGCTAAATTTTCTTACTAAATATTTTAGAACGAACGTTTTCATCAAAAGAAATAATTAACAGTTTCTACGAACTCGAGTCGAATTTGAGCTGATAGCCGATAAGGCGCGTAGCGCCGAATCGGCTATCGCTCATATTCGACGAGAATGAGTGGAATAACTGTTTTATTATGTACACAAGGTCTGAATTCACAGACTTTGCTTTTCGGATATTTTCAAATTTTTCTATTTTGTTTATGCTTTTATCTTCGCTCTTTCGGCCGGTTATTTTTTCGAAAATAGGCCTATACATTTTTAACTATTTTAAATTTTAAAAATTCATTTGCTAACCTGTATAAACAGTTTGTGGGAGTATTTTCATTGTGTTTTTAATCCTGTAAAGGCTATAAAAAGCGAACAACTCGCCGTTTTCTCGTTCGAAAAACGTCGGAAATTCAGTGTGAGCCGCCATTTTGTTTTTCTCTATACTAGCGCTAGCAGGATATATGAGCTAATATCCTGCTAGTAGAGAACCAATCAGATTGCAGAATACCTCATATCCAGAGTCCAGACCTTGTGTATATAATAACAAGCCTTATTATACTGTCGCAAATTCTGGCATACAATCCATAGGGATTATAAAAGAATAGAGTGTGGATTGCGGGGAAATCTTGAGCTTAAGAATATATTTTTTTGTTATATAATGGTTTTGTTCGATATAGCTAATAAAAGATTCATCTATGTCTTCAATATTGGGCTCGACTTAATATTTTGCCATATTGGGCTCAGAAGAATCCAATAATTAAGTTGGATGACAACCATCTGATTGGCTCTCTATATTAGCTCATATTGTGCTAGTAAAAAAAAGAATGACGTCTTAAAATTATCGGAGTTTTGCGAACAAGAAAACGGCAAGTTATTCGCTTTTTATGTTCTTGTCAGAAACCATTCAAGCACAATGACAAACTGACTCCTAGCATTTTTTAAAGATTGGCAAAAAGATTCTTATTATTGAAACTAGTTAAAATATATTTGTTAAACAATTAATACAGAAGAGCGATTGAAATGAAAGTGTCTTGGGAATATTATAAAACGTACGTTAATTGAAAGCAAAGACAAATAAGAAATGTGCATGCACGAAGTCAACACGCACCCTTCTAAAAACTTAAATAATATTATGTAAAATTTCAAGTTTTCACCAATGCTCTAAGTTCCATTTTCGGCAAAAGAGGGCAGTTGTGCTTTAACAGGCTTAAGGCGGTTTTCCAGTCCTCGCACGAAGCTCCTCGCAGCTCGCTGCGAGTGCATGCATCTAATTAAAATTAACTCTTTAGCATTGTGATTGGATGAAAGTGCTCATGCATGCACTCGCAGCGAGCTGCGAGGAACTTTGTGCGAGGACTGGAAATCCACCTTTAGGCCTATTTGTCCAAGTCGCTTCGATTGACAAACTTACCATCAAAACTTTCCATATACTGAATGAATGCATGCATGCATGCAGTAGTTGTATATGTATAATAAAACAGTATTGTACTCCCTCTCGTCGTGTATGGTTATTAATAGCAAGAGCTCGTTATCAGTTCTTACTATTGTATAACTGCGCCGGATATAACAATTCTGTAATCCCATAGCAGAAAACTGAGAAGATTGCGGCTCAAAAATTTTACTATTCGCTTGAATAAAAACGCAATGAAAAAACTCCCATGCAACAATTGCATGTTTACATGATAACAAGCATTTTTTATTATTATTTAACTTTGTGTGAGAATAAAAACATGAATAAGACAGCCTTAGACGGAAGTCAGCAAGCACTTGTTTGTCGAAGAAATTATCGAAGAATTTTCAGCAATGTTCGGTATACTATTCAAGCACTATTTTCTAATATTTTTGCCAAACTAACCGTCCAAAAAATTGCTGTACTAGAAATTCCGGGAATAGAGTCAGTATATTTGTCTATATATAATAAAATAGTTAATATTCTCCTCACTCTCGTCGTCAATATGGCCGATAGTCAACTCGGTGATACGCACATGTCGACTATCATGCAGTTACTACGATTCGAGTTTGCAGAATAACTGATCATGTTAATTATTCTACGTACCGTTCCAAGAAATTTGTATATGGTTAATTTGAATTTGATATGCAGAAGAAGGGATTTTTTCCCAAGGTGTCGTTCTATATCCTCCAAAAACCAAGTTTTCTTAAAACGAAATAAAAAATATACAAGTCCAATGGGAATATAGCAGTGTATAAATTAAAACAAAAATGGAAGAAAATTGAAGAAAAATTCAAATCGGAATCTACAGTACAACTATACCGTAAACCTCCGACTATAAGTCCCCCCCCCCGAATATAAGCCCACCATGCACATATACTAACGCTCACCTCATTCCAAATATAAGCCCCAGATATAAGCCCCCGAATATAAGTCCCCCAAATATAAGTCTCCCGAATATAAGCCCAGTAGCCCCTGACTACGTTATTCAACATTGACATTGTCTTTTAATATAGCAGAGAACGATATTTAAAAACATTGTCATTGTCTTTATAGCCGACTGTGTGAATCAATTAAAGCGCATTATTAATACATGTTTATTTTCCTGTTTATGACTGACTTGTTTATGTCTGACTTGTTTATTACTAACACAAAAGATCGTCCATGTATTATCCCCCCCGTATATAAGCCCCCCCCCTTGTATATAAGTCCATCAAAAATCTCTTACGAAAGTATATAAGCCCAGGGCTTATAGTCGGAGGTTTACGGTAGTCTACGCGCGGTAAAACTAATCAATGAATGCAACAGTACAATAACTTTAAAACATTGCGGAAACGGTTTCGATTACTGCGGTTAGCAGTTATGCATGGTTGGCGAGATTCAAGACTGTGTTTCGTGAAAAACAACTTATAATTATATTAAAAGAGTTCTTTCAATTACTTGAAATCAATTGTCGATGCCCTTAAAATAAACAAAAGATGACTCACCACTTAAGCATCCATAAAATTCCAACCGAACGCACTTATTGCTTCCTTGTGTAGGCCTGATTCGAATATGCCTTGCAATAAACGGTCGTAGTTTCTTGAGGAAATGTGGTTCCGTTGATGCATCACTGCTTAACTCCTATACAATATCACAAGTATACATCGACATTGTTATCAACATGTAATATTGTAATGATAATTTTATATTTTTTTATTCCAAGAAAAGTACATTAAGGTTCCAGAAGGTTAATATCCTTGAGAATTACTGTACTGTCTGTCCTTATTTCAATTTACCACTGTTCATGTATTATAGAGAAAATAATAAACAAGATATACTGTAGAAATATCTTACCTCACACGTTGATGCTCGAAGTCCGTAAGGCTTGTAGGTTTTACCGTCTTTACCATATTGAATACAGTATGAAGTTGCTAAACCTTGTACAGCAATATTTTTAATTTTGTAGATAGATCCTAGGTCAATTTGGAGATAATCATCCTGAAATGGAATAAAGTACCATTTGTAATAGGAAATTTTCAAAGTACACCAAAACCAATACCACCTGACACCAAAAATTGGACAAAAAATAAACCTCTTGAAAAAGCTAGAATAGGATTTAGTCAAGTTCTTATCTAAAGCCTTGTTTTTATTCTATTTCAGTACCATCGTCAGAGATACGAAAAATAGTTTCATATTATTCTGACACTGCACAGAACAACAAAAAAATGTATTGGATATAGCGGGATTCAAACTCACATCTTCGGGTTTCTAGACCGCTCTACGAATTGAGCTATTGAGCCAACGGGGATTGCTGGTAGTGAGTCTTATCCAGTTAAAGGGCAAGAAATATTATTTATCACAATAACTTAACGCTTGTCGTGGAGGACGCGCAGTGTTTGAATTAGGCAACACCTACACTCTGTCGATACAAACGCAACCTGCTTTTTATTTGGATAGTGTTGAGTAGATAAAGGTATAATCTATTAATTACTTGAAAACGTCCCTGTATCAACAAATACAATGGGGCTTCAATTCGTTGGCGCAATCGCCAGGGTAAGGCCTTTAGCCTCTGAGATCGTGCATTCCATTCTCGCCTAAGTCAACGCTGTAACGAAAGTTGCGCATTTTCTTCAGGTACTCTGCATGGTTTCCTCCCACAAAGAATGTCTACAAGGTGGGTTGCATGGGATTAACCCCTAACTGACCTAACTGCGCTACATTATTAGAATCGAATCAGACATGAGTGATAAAGTGGCTAGAAGCGCCCGCAGAAAGTCTTTGATTCAATTACGTTGAGCTGCGTCCAATTCAGCTTAGTAATTATTTACATTACATACCTTAGCTTGTGGACACCATGCATCATTGCTACGTAGTCGTGACTTTAATGGTCCCGTAGTAGATGGACTACGGACTTTGGCTGTGATTTGGTCGTCATTAATATTCCCATTTTCCATTCCAAGAGGTGCATCACAATCAAACATTGCTGAAAAAATATTGCGATTTTAAGATTTTATTTTAAGATTGTGATAGTAAGTGATAGTGATAATTATAGTCGTGATAGTAGCAGTAATATATATATATATATATATATATATATATATATATATAGTATACGAGTAAGAGCAACAGCAACATTAACAGTTGTAACAGTAACTGTTACAGTAACGATAAAGCGCCGTACATGCAGACGAGCAACCTTCCTTAACAAGTATTTGCAGGTGTGTACTGCAAAAAATTGACAATGTTTCCTTGCAAAGGAACCTTGTTCCAAGGCTAGTCATTCCAGGACAAGGAAAATTGACAATGTTTGTGTGTACGACCAGCATGAAAGACATGACAAGTGTACAAGCAATACTTGTACGATTTTGGAAAACTAAAGGCGGTCTTGACGTGAGATAAATGTTTAAAGACATTCCGTGCACACGAGCGACAAAACTTGCCAAGTAAAACTTGTTGACCGCATATATACACACGAGGAGGTAAACTTGTCAAGGAAAACGTTCTCATTTGTTGTACGAGGCAATTGCAAGAGTAATTATACTAATGGTCACCGTCTAATAAAATGTGGTTTGCAGACAATAATTTCTGAGATCATCACATATATAAGGAAAATAAATCCAAAAAAGTGTAAGGAGCTTATAGAATAAACTTCACGAAGCAATCCCATGTTTGGAGCAGCTTGTGAAATCAGCGAAAACTCTGGATATGCTAATCACCGATGATCTGACGTGTAACTGCAGGCATATAGAAAACATTGCGTTAAAGGCATCAAAGCGACTGTACTTATTAAGGCAGTTGAAACGTGCAGACGTTGATGAAACGTCACTGCTTCAATTTTATACCGCTGCATGCATGCATGCATGCATTAGATCCATCCAAGAATACGGTTGCAAAGTTTTTCACTCAGGCCTTCCAGACTTACTTATCAGAGGATATAGAACGAATTCAAAGACGAAGCTTAAAAATTATATATCCTGAAATAAATTCGAAAGATGCAATAGAGCAAGCAAAAACGAAAACACTAAAGGACAGAGAGAAATTATGACAACAACTTTTTACTTCCATCGAAGATAAATGAAAACAATAAAGAAGAAAATCTACCAACTCACAATTTTAGAGAGTCGAGAAGATATTGGCTTCCAATTATAAATACAAACAGATTAAAAACTCTTATATTTTTAATTACGCATCCCAATCCAAATTGTAAATAGTATTTGTCATAAATCATAATTATGTTAATTTATGATAAACACGTGATCATGATTAAAGTTGTTATTGAATATGGCGACGTGTGTAGTGTATATATGACATGGTGCCAGGACTAAAAAAGATACCCAAAAAGACCCTAAAATGGAAACGTTTAAGCCCCCGAGTGCATTGAATTTGACGGGAAACTTGCGCGAGAACTGGAGGCGATGGATTCAGCGATTCGAGTTGTTTTTGACTGCGTCAGGGAAAGTCAAAGAAACGGAAAAAGTCCAGTGTGCAATTTTACTTCATCTCATCGGTGATGAAGCCCTCGAAATCTACAACACGTTTACGTTTGGCGAGGGCGAGGATCGTGATAAGTTGAGCGTGTTGAAGAAGAAATTTGAAGATTATGTAAATCCTCGAAAGAATACTGTATTTGAACGATATAAATTCTGGGAATGCAAACAACAAGAAGGTGAAACAATCGACCAATTTATAACGGAGTTGAAAACACGAGCTAATTCATGTGAATTTGGTGATCAAACGGACAGCATGATTCGAGATCGTACATTATTTGGGGTGAGTGATATTCGATTAAAAGAACGATTGCTTCGTGAATCGTCTGAACTCACTCTTGAAAAAGCTGCAAGTTTGTGCCGAGCGGCGGAAGAAAGTGCGAAACAGCTCAAAGAGCTTCGGAAGCAAAATGTTGATCCAACTGAACCGGAAGTTCACGTCGTAAAGAAACCCACTCGAGGTGAGTTGCTATTTGATTGTAATAGATGTGGAACTAAGCATGCAGTAAGATCTTATCCTGCATTTGGAAAACCTTGCCACAAATGTAAAAATCCCACTTCGCACGAATGTGTCAAATGTCAAGAAATTCTTCTGTTGACGAAGTGTCAGAAAATACATGGGGAAGCTAACACTAGAAATGACCCAACACACTCGAGTCAAATAGTTTATTTATTGGGACCATAACTAGCCCCACAACAAGTTCTGCATGGCTTGTGAGTGTGGGTATAAATGGAACACAAGTTCGATTTAAACTTGACACTGGAGCTGAAGCCAATGTTATGTCATTTAATGTGTATTCAAGTCTAAAGATTAGTACATCCCTGCAGAAAACTGATGTGGTTTTAACCTCATATGGGAATTTTAAAGTCAAACCGGAGGGGAAAGTTTTCCTGAGATGTGTCATCAATGGTCAGTCTGAAACAGGGTTTATTTTAAGAAAAATTTAGAACTGCACAAATAGGGATGTTACGAAGGCAACAGGTGTTTGACGGAGGGGGGGAGGGGTCGAAGAATTTTTTACCTGCATATAGGTTGCAGAGTAAGGGTGTGGTTGGGTGGCAGAATTGGTGAATTGGAGAAAGGCCACACAAACACGATTTTGGGTGGGGAAGCTAGGAGGTGTTTCCCAAAACAATTTGAATCTAGAGGCTCTTGAGTCCTGGCAAAGATTTGTTTTACCCAACCACTCACAAAAACTGTTTCAAAACATGTAACTGGGAATCATGGATATTCAATATATAACAACCTTAAATTTGCATTTGAGGCAGCAAAGAATATTAGGTTCTCCCACTCTAATCTCTTTTGGGAGCTTCGCTCGCCCCAATTTTACCTTCTTTTTCATTACCCCAGCACGAAAGTGATTTGTGAGAAAAATAGGAGGGTCTGGAGTTCTCCCCCAGAAAACGTTTATATTTTTTATTATTATTATTTATTTTTATTATTAAACTTTATTTAAAGAAGGTTTTGTAAGTTCGGTGACTGCACATTTGTGTTTTAAGAACTGCACAAATGGGTTTAGGACTGCACATTTTGTGTAGAACTGCACGTTAAAATAAACCCTGGTCTGAAATGCTACCATTCTTTGTTGTTACTGTCCAGTCAACCCCAATACTAGGTTTGCAGGCATGTGAGAAATTAAACCTGGTCAAGAAAGTCAATGAAGTGGCCCCATCACCTTCCACTAAAGAACACATTATTCATGATTACCCAGAGGTGTTTGAAGGGCTTGGCTCCATGGACGGAGAATATCATATTGTTGTTGACAAGACTGTCAAGCCTGTCATCCACCCACCACGAAAGGTTCCCTACAGCATACTGGGAAAGTTAAAAGAGAAACGTTCGCAGCTTGAAAAAATTGGTGTTGTGCAGAAAGTTGAAAAACCGAGTCCATGGGTTAACAGTCTTGTATAGTCGAGAAATGTGATGGGTCTCTGCGGTTATATTTGGATCCTCGTGATCTGAATAAGGCTATTCAACGGGAGCATCATAGAATTCCCACAGCAGAGGATATTGTCACTCGCCTTGGTGGTAAGAAGTTATTCGCCATAGTGGATGAAAAAGATGGGTTTTGGCAGATCCACCTAGATGAAGAAAGTCCCCATCTCTGCACCTTCAATACACCCTTTGGTCGCTTCCGCTTCACGAGATTACCATTTGGTGTGTGTTCAGCTCCTGAAGTGTTTCAGAAGAAGAATGAAGCATTGTTTGGTGATATTGATGGTGTCGAGGTGATATTTGATGACATAATTGTGGCAGCGCAGGATGAAAAAGAGCATGATGAAATTATGGCAAAGCTGTTGGAAAGAGCAAAAGCTTCAGTACAAAGTCAAAGAAGTGAAGTACATGGGTAACATTGTATTTGAAGCCAGATGGCGAGAAAGTTCGTGCAATTCTGGACATGCCCTTACCTAAGTCAAAGGAAGAATTGCGAAGATTCCTTGAAATGGTTAATTTTTTCTCGAAGTTTATTCCAGGTCAATCGAGTATTACTGACCCTCTACAGCAGTTGTTAAAGAAAGATTCAGTTTGGGACTGGTCCCATGAACACACTGGTGCAGTAGAGCAACTGAAACAGATCCTCTCAAGTCAGCCTGTCCTGAAATTTTTTGACTCAGCAAAGCCAGTCAAGTTGCAAGTTGATGCTTCGAAAGGTGACCTTGGAGCTTGCCTTCTACAAGACGGACATCCCGTTGCATATGCATCCCGGTCACTGAGCTCTGCTGAGGAGAACTATGCGCAAATTGAAAAGGAGTTAACCGCAGTTGTCTTCGGATGTGAAAAATTTCACTGCTATGTTTATGGTAAATCAATTGATATAGATTCTGATCACAAGCTCCTTGTTTCCATCTCCAGAAAACCTTTGGTACAAGCTTCCCCCAGGCTCCAGCGATTGTTGCTCCGACTACAAAAGTATGATGTCACCATCAACTACCTTCCAGGAAAATATATGTATGTTGCAGATGCACTTTCAGGAGCATTTCTTCCTGATGGCCCTGTTCCTGATGAAATGAATGATGATGATGTAACGAAGATGATCCATAGCCTCGTTGAAAACCTCCAAATGACAGTTGAGAAGCTTGACGAATTGAAATCAGCAACAGTAGAAGATGAATTCCTGCAGCAGTTAATCCAATTCATCAAAGACGGATGGCCTAGTCAAGTGAATAGTCCATCGGCTGTTGGTCACTATTGGAAATTTCAAGACGAAATCTATGAAGCCAATGGGTTGTTTTTCGGGCAGAAATTAATTATTCCAGAGAAGCTGAGACCAGACATTCTTCGTCGAATTCATGAGAGCCATCTGGGTATGGAAAAATGTAAATCGAGGGCTAGAGCAGTAGTCTATTGGCCCGGAATGTCAGCGGACATTAGATTAGTAGCGAAATGTTCAACTTGCCTGAAGCACCAAAGAAGCAATCAGAAAGAGCCACTAAAGCCACACACAGTGCCTGCCAGAGCATGGCAAAAATTGGGAACAGACATTTTTGAATATAAGTCGACCAAGTCCAATTTAGTAATTGTGGACTATTACTCGAAATTTCCAGAAATTTCTCTCCTCTCATCAAGTCAAGCTGTCATTACCAGTATGAAATCAGTATTTGCCCGACACGGCATCCTGGATGAAGTTGTCGCAGATAGTATGCCCTTTTCAAGTAAGGAATGTTTACAGTTTGCACAAGAATGGGGATTCAAAATTTCAACGTCCAGTCCTCATTACTCCCAGTCAAATGGCATGAGTGAGCGTACAATTCAAACCATCAAGAATCTCCTTCGTAAAGCTGATGATGAAGAAAACGATTCCTACATCGCCCTCCTGGAGTACAGGAATACTCCAATCACAGGAATGCAAGAATCGCCAATCTAGTTATTAATGAGTCGCATGCTAAAGTCGAAGTTGCCTACGACTACGGCTCTCCTTCAGCCCAAAGTTCAAGAAAATGTTCGTGACAAATTTAAGCAACGTGCCGAGAAGCAAAAAGAGTACTTCGACAGAAATGCAAAACCATTGCGACCTGTAAAGATGTATCAGTCTGCCCGAATTCGAAGAGGAAAGGTGTGGGAGCCAGCAGTTATAACAGGTAGGCATAAAGCACCTAGATCCTTCATAGTAATCACACCACAAGGTGGAGTGTATCGTCGTAATCGCAGACATTTATTACCCACTAGTGAGCCTCCACCTAACAATTTAGGACCAGACTACGATGAAGAAATTGTTATGCCTGAGCCTAGACCAAATAACGTTGTTGACCCAGAACCTGTAAGGCGCACCAGCAACCGCGCAGTTAGACTGCCTGAACGACTCAGGAATGACTATGTTATGGAATGACTATCTTAAGCTGTTTACATTTATCAACTTTAATATTGTTGTTGTGTTACTTGGAGCATTGCAGTTCTTGCAAGATACTCGGTGTTATGAAGTGTGACCTTATTACCGAACAATTGAAGCTAATTAGCTGTTGAACAAAATGTAGCTTTAGTAAGAAAGGGAGATGTCATAATTATGTTCATTTATGATAAACACGTGATCATGATTAAAGTTGTTGTTGAACATGGCGTTGTTGTTGAACAATGTTGTTGAACATTGTTATATATGACAGTATTAGTATAGTCTTAAATCAATTGCAATTAAGGTTTTTTAAACTGCGAAAATTGATTTAATAAACGCTCTATCTGTCTAGCATAATAATAATGAGAACAGCGAGAGCAATCATAAGATAGCGATAACGAAAACGAAACGATACAACACAACAACAACGACGACAATAGTAAAGAAGGACAACCGCAACAACAACACCAGCAATGGTAACAACAACGACAACGGCTACAACAACAAAAATAATAAAACACTAATAACATCACAAACAATAATAATAATAGCATTAACACACCTCTCTTGCGTTTACAAATATAACGACGAGGAGCAGAACATAGTTCAGTTGACCACGCCCCATCTGTTCTCATGCCCATCAATACTGTACAATCTTTCCATGGTCGATTTCTGGAATTTTTCTGTATCCAGTTTCGGTAGTCTGCTTCGGAACTGTCTGACCATTTAAAGACGTTTTCCGACTTGCGATCATTTAAGCCAATCCACACCGCGGACTTGGCAACAGAGCTGATTTCTTTTGTTAAAAAAACATTTTCGCTCTCGTTCTGAATACTGACCAAAGAGGAAAAATCACCAATTGATTTACATGCCTGTTTCGCCGCAGTCCAGTTCTTAAACTGAGATTCAGCGAGATTGAATTGATAGCAGTGATCGCCGAACAAAGTCCAGTCGCCAGGACATCCATTTTTACCTGATAAATCAAAATTGAGAGGTTTTTTTATTTCAACTAAATGTTTGGATAAAACCTTAACTATAACATTTTTGATAATACATTTACGTATCCATCGTTCTATTTATCATATAGAAAAAATGACAATACGATTACAAAAAAGCAATTGATACAAATCTTATCTTATCCCCGATCAAGCCAACGGAGCGATGGCGGGTGTAAGCGCGGGGCGAGGGTACTGATTCTGCTGGGCTATTTAATTCCAGGAGAACGAATTCAAAGTACTAGCGAGTTTAAGGTACCCCGGTTTCGGTGTACGGGTACAGGTAGCATGATTTTGGTTAGAAATATTTTCGTCGATGTCTGTACCTTTACTCGTAATTAAGGTGCACATTTTTCGCATTATATCATTGTCTATTGCAAGAAAACAGAAAAAGAATGATCGGACATCAGTAAAAACTAGCAAGATGACACTACTCGTATATACCCGTACACCGAAACCGGGGTATCTTAAGGTGGCTCGATATGGTTATCACAAAAACTCTGCTCAAGAATTGCGAACAAAACTGGGTGACCATTCTCACGCGCAGGTCGCGGAAACTGATTAACAAAATGAAAGAACTTCCAAAATGACCTGACGTGAGCATTTGCTCGCGCCATCCTACGTTATTGCGCGTGTTCTAGAGCGTTTTATGTCAATTGCTGGCGTCATTAGAATTTTTCATTTTAGAAAAACAATGCGCTATATCTCTCTATTTTGTCTGGTGACTTATGTTCAAATTTTACATGCTGTATTGCACCGCTAAAAACTTTCATTATACAAAAAATAAAAAAATTCTGTAATGCCAAAAACATTTTACCGAAGAGTACGACATTTTCGTATTTTCCAGAAAAATGGCATTACAGATTTTTTAAATATTTTGCTAATTGTTAGCTTTTCGTTCAAGTAAAATAATGCACGAAAAAGATTTGGGGGTCACCATGTTTCTTTTCCAGCTATACCAGGCGATATGCCATTTTGGACTAAATTTTGTACACGTATGTTGTCATAGCAACGAACTATCTGTTACTGAAACTAATATAATTTGAAAGTAGAGATATCAAAATATGTAAAAAAACCCAATATCTGCTGAATAAATCCCAAAACTGCGCTGGTTTGAACATTTCAAAGTGTTGAACAACTGAATTTTTGAAAAATGTATCGAGCCACCTTAAACTCACTATTAGCGAAGTCTAGTACGGTGATTAATAAAAGCGTGTCTTTGTTTCACATGGTGTCATGGGTGTATGTACTACTGATCTCAAAAATATGGGGAATTCCAGGAGTGAAATAAGTAAGTATGATTTGCAGGGGGGGGGGAGAAACCCGACGAGCAGCCAAACAGTTTATTTATTTCTGCTTCAAACATGTACAAAAGATCAGGGATAATAGACTACAGAAAATCGTAAAAACCAAGGCAAGTTTGTTTTAATATTTGATGTAACTATTGTTGGATTTAAAAAAACTGATGTTGAGGAAAAATGAAAATTACCCGCTTTTGTATTACTTTGGATTATTAATAAAAGTCATTTATTTTAAACTGACAAAGTTTATCGATAAAAGGCAGTTTAGTTTTATGTACATTTAATAACGTTTTGCAAAGCATTGGTGTAAGTTGAATTTTACTATTAAATCGAAGCTTATATTACGCATAATAATATACCTAATATTCAACTATTTGCGAAATTGATAATTTTGTAAACAAAATTACATAAAGTAAGCGGCAATGATTAACGACTGCCGACACGCATTTTTAACATGATTGTGGACTCGTATTTTGCAAATAGGCGGGAATTTTATTCAAAACAGTGAAAAATAAACAAGAACACAAGGAAAAACCGTGTAATGGACCCTACTTCGTCTTCGAGAAATCGTCCTGTGCAAAAATATATTCTGTTTTCGTGAAAACACCAAAGCGATAGCGTTTGAAGAGTTTATATTGTCAGAAAACATTCACAGGGAAGATAACGATTGAAAATCCAAGGTAAGCGTTACGTTGCTTTTCATTGTTGTTTTACTGAAACATGTTGTTCACTCCTATACAAACGCCATTTTTAACTACGTTTTGGATAGTTAACTATACCGTAAAGCATAGTTAACTTTAACTACTATTTCACTACTTTTTAACTGCAGTTAAAAAGTAATGAAATGGTAGTTAAAACTAGTTAAAGTTAGCGCTAACTACGCTTTTATACAACCAGCCCCTGGCAAATAAAACATGTATTGTGTTTGTATGAATTATATACCTCCCCCTGCAACTTCATGATCATATATACACTGTTAATTTCAAGGAGTTATTTTAACTCCACCATAGGAGTTAAAACTACTCAACTCGGGAGAGTAAAAATTGTGGAGTAAAATCTACTCCCAAAATAGAGTTAAAACTACTCCACTTCGGCGCGCATTCTACAATTTACTCCATCAGGAGTCAATTTTACTACTTAGGAGTAGAAATTATGGAGTAATTTGTACTCCTTAAAATTTTACTCCAGGGGTCGTTTCAACTCCCAAAAAAGAGTAAAATTGTTCTGGATCTGGAGTAAATTATTACAATATATAATTAATGTGCCTGAGAATCCAAGAGTTTTTCTGCTGGAGGCTATATTAAAGTATTGAATACAGTCAGATGCGAAAAGCACGAAGTTCGAGATATAAAGTCTTTTTTTTTAATTTTACGTTTATGGTTACTCGAATGTTGCCAAGTCAGATTGATGCCATTGATGTATTATACTGTATATCGGCTCTCTGTATCGGCTTCCGTCGCACGCGACGATCGAATGTAGCCAGAAATTTATTTATTTATTTATTTATTTAGCTTTGCCAACTAGGGCAGGGTCACCACAACAGCATATGCCAATTACTGTGGGCCCTTTTTTACCTAACCCACCCTGTCAACTTTCCCTGTGGGAGGAAACCGGAGTACCCGGGGAAAACCCACAGCTTTCGGCAGAGCGTTGACTTTTACCCTTTTCACATGGGGACTGGGTTCGAGTCGCACTGAGAAGGTACTTAAGTGAGGCTCGAACCTGCAGCCTCAGAGGTGAAAGGCAAGTGCGCTAACCACTTGGCCACCGAAGCCCCTTAAATTGAAATTGTCAGCAAGTCATCTATATTTTTTTATTTGCTGGCCTAAATCTGTAATTTGAACGTGTGGAATGTTCTGCGGCTGATTTCTGCTGAATATAATTTGCGACAAGTGGAAGTTCCAGATTTTCAACCAATTAGCATGCTTAGAATATATCACGTGTTGTAGTAATTCGATATGGTTCACACCAGTGGTTCACACAAAGACCAAGCGCCAAGTTCAATCCTTCGGGAGCAAACATTCAAAGGGGGAATGATATTTATTCAAATTTTCTACTTATAAAGTTCCAAAGAGCTAATAAGATACATGGAATTTGTTTTCAAAGGTATGTTTATTGTGTATTTACTTATTTGTGTGCGGAAAGTTACTTGATATACTGTATAGTTATATTTTTAAATCGAAGACGAAGGCCTGCATTTTAGTCGCTTCGCCGCCGATTTGCCGATCTAGACGTTCAGTTTTAATTTTCGATTAATTTGTATTAGCAGAAGTCCATAAGTCTAATCTACAGTCTCTAATTATATGTGTTGTTAGCCCCGTTTACACGAGCAAATTTTATTTGACAAATTTCATTTCATCAAAAGCATAATTGTTCAAATGCATTTGTCACAAATTTATCATCTACACGAGCAAAATATCTCTGACATATGAAATTTGTCAAAAAAAATTTGCTCGTGTAAACGGGGCTTAAAATTTGTGTGATATACATGTATGTTGTATTTCGTGTTAAATATGTATACTTTAATATATACGTGATCTGTTCGAAATGCAGTCACATTTGACAGCATTGCAATAGCCCATCTAATATTACCCAGTGTATGGCATGTGCTTGCTGTGGTAGCCCTCCTATCGGCTATCAGTCAGCCTAAAACATGTGTAAGGGGCTGCTTATATAGAGGCGAGCCACCCAGGTAACCTGGCTATAGCTCGCTTTCCCTGGATGAATGTCTAGTTACATGAGCCTCTTTAGATGGGCGGCTTGCCAAAACAAATCACCCAGACTGAGTTATATAGTACAAGCACATTTTGCAATAAAGTGAACCAACAAGTGATCAATCACTCATACTTTTGCAGACAGTCTCGAAATGTATAAACTGACAAAAATAATCACAGAGATCTTTTTACCCAGGGCCCAGGGGTAATACTGTGCCAAATCGTGGGTGATTGTATATAATTTATATGGAAAATCCTAGCTTGGCATTAGCAAGATTTTGGGACAATGAATTTTGGGTCAATTATGCACAGGTCTATTTTAAACACCCTTTACCAGAAAAGTTGTATTCATTTGGATGATGTTAGTTCAATTGCATGCTTACATTAAATGAGTAAAAGCATTTGAATTTTGTATTTCTTGCTTTGTATATATGCAAACAACCAAAAATAGCAAATTCATTGTCAATCAATCAATAATTTTTATTTTGTGTGTGTTGGTGTTATAAAATGTACTCAGGTGAATATATGATGTTTGTGATGTTACTGTGAGCAAGCTGAAAAGTTAGCTTGGCCACAGTGGGAATCGAAAGGTCTGTGACCGTGGCCAAGCTAACTTTTCAGCTTGCCCAGTGTGGATGCACACTCAGAGAGAGAGTCAGTGGCGTAGCCAGCCCGACAATTTAGTCCCGCTATGCAAATTCAAAATTATTATCATTATTCATTTCTTTAGAAATTGATTGTTTTCACAGTCAATGAACATGAAAATATTTGCATAGCGGGACCAAATAGTCGGACTGGTTATGCTACTGGTGAGAGTAACATCACAAACATCATATATTCACCTGAGTACATGACACCAACACACACAAAATAATCGTATCATTGAATACCCCTGTACACTGATATCGAAGGAACTAGACTCAGTTCCATATGATGCCTAATATAGGACAAGAAATTTTAACTTTCGTGTTTATTCCTAGGAGTAAGGGGGACTAATGAATGTAGTGGTCGTCGCCCTGCAGTGTTTCCGGTTATTATATTATTCTCAAATTTCAAGACTTCAAGTATCTTATATTATCGAGTAACCCGAGTTTCGACCACGTTTTGTTCTGTTTATTCACTAGTTTAAAAGCTATATAATATACATATACATATGTATTGTGTTAAAAAGCTTTCCGAATGGAAAAAAAAGAAAGAAAGCGAACCCGTTTACGATGGAGAACGTACAACGCCGCTGTTCCGAAAACCAAGCAAAAATTGCAAGCGTCAAAAATCATTTCCATGCTTTGCGCGATACATGCTTGTCGGATTTCCTTCATGTCGGTCTTGACGAAGAAGAAGCGATAGTTTTGTTGGCGACGAAGCTCACAACAAACGGAGTAGTAGCTTTGCGAAATGCTGTGTGTTTTGTACCGAACAATATCGTGTCGCAACCTCGGGGTTGTGCAGTTGGGCTACGCACAGCGCTCATCCATCAAGTGTTGTCGAAATCGCACCCTTTGCCGTTTGCTACTATGACGGAGAAAGATCTCGACTCATATTTAACCTTTTTTGAACGCCACTGTCGTCAATTCATTGTTTCGAATTCGCTAAACAAGGAGCACATTTTTAGTGCATTTCAGAAAGCCAGCGGCGGTCTGTTGGCATCCATGTTTTTATCTCCGCCTGTAAATTCCTGTTTGAGTTGTGACGGCGGCCTGACGATGCACAATTCACCATCAAGTGCAAGATTATATGGCATGAGTGGTCCAGTTGCTGTATCGAAAGTGACACTCGAATGCAAACATTGTGACATTAAATATGGTATCACCAGATATTCCAGCAAGGATGGGTCCAGATACTATCCAAAACATGTGGCTGATAACATCACTGTAGTGGAGGTCACCAATTGCACATACATGCATGTTGATTTGTACATGTGGATTCCATCTTTAAGGTATGACTTCTTGTGCAATTTCATTTTTTTTGCTTAATACTTAGTATCCCACAAATACCTGACAACATGTCATCACTGTAGTGGACGTCATCACTGTAGGTCTACATACATCATATTAAATTAATTACATGTGTTTTAACAATTATATTTGTAACTCTGTTCATTTAAAAAACAAAACAAGGAAAACTACCGTGCTCACTTCGGATGAAAACATTGACGAAAAGCTGTGACACACTTTGCTTTTATTGCAGATAGTTTTTCGTTGTAAATACAATATATAATATCGACTGCCCGGCCATGGGGACAAGTAAGAGTAAAAATGCCCCACACTGTCCGGGGTCGCACCTGGAATTGACTGATACATTAGTATCCAACAAATACCGAGGTTGTCAACTCACAAATTAAAACAATACTTTGCCCTGTGTTCTCCCTATTTTTCAGTTTTTACAGCTTACTTTTAGTTATTTAATGTAATTATTATTTTTAATTAATATACTAGTAATCATTCCTGGGTATCCTTCAGTGGGTTTTCTGAAACTTACAATGAGGTGTATCACAAAGAAATTGAGGTGTACAGAAGTAAGTAAATGAACAGGCTACTCAGATTATCAATGCAAATTTCAGGTGCAAATTCCCTCTGTTTGATTCTGTTTTGGAAAATTTCAAGAAGCGAGAAAGGGGGAGGGAGAGGGTGGAGTCCTCGATTGGTACTGAACTATTGTATAAGTGAAGCAATTTAATTGGCATCATTGATTGGGCCCCTTTGATCCTTGTTCAAAAAGCTATATCTGCCTGCTTTCTCATAGTCGTTGTAATTTCTTAAAAGATGACCTGCTCATGTTTATCTTCAGTATTCTGTTTTTAATTGATTGGATGTAAAATGATGTCATTCACAGTGATATGCAATTAGTATCCACCATGAATTAGAAGCAAACCTTTCATATTATTCAACTTATTGCCAGTTTATGTTTGTCGGGGTGACCCGTCTCTATAATTATTTGCTTCACAGAAATTTAATTAACAAATATAATTGGTACAATCAATTTGTTGTTTGTTTTTTAGAATTGGATCAAAAAGGTGGTTGCAGGTATTCAGATCCTGGAATGCTGTGAAAGGGCCCTGCTGGACCTGTTGGAACATTCTATTGGGTGAACATCAAATGATGTGTGGAGTGAAATGAAATGAAATGAAATTTCGATTCAGTGTGACTGATATAATTGGAATGGTATAGATAATGATGATTTTAGTGAATTATGTTATGATGCATGGACTGTGATGATGTTGGTGAAGCTTGACTTATAACATAGATATAAAGTGATGATACTGGTGATATATGAGTTGTAAAATGATATGAAATATAAGTGATACATAAGTCTGAACATTCAAGCTAAAATGAGACATGAATAGTAAAACTGTGACGTGTATGACTCGATTGATTGTTTTTGTGAAGATCGCGCAGGCATAACCCGGGTGCGTTTGCGGACACGCCGCAGGGGATATTCGAAGACTATCCCATATACAGGATGTGTTTATGTATTCCTAACAACAATATATTGAACTAGCCGAAGGGTGTCGATGACAGAAATTTTCCTTTGACGGTGCGCGAAAAGAAACATTTGATGAGGCCTCTTGTTGGTAAAGCAAGGTTGGCCACGGCAGTTGGCGCTGGGTCTATTATCGAGGTCAATGGTACCTTTGGAAAAAAGCCTTGGAATAATAACAGAAGTTAACCAGATGCATTAAATATTTACAACTAAATCATTTTTTATTAACATAGCCATAGACATAGTCATAAATAGAAGGCAAGTAGCGTGGGCAATCATGACACAATTTATCACTTCGAAGAACTATTTTACGACGATTGTGATTAAATTGAATTGCTACAGTAGTTGCTACGTAATTTAGTTTGAACTAACCAAATCATGCTTATGATGTTACTCTAAGTGTGTATCCACACTCAGAGTAACATCACAAGCATCTTACTCACCTGAGTACACTACACCAAAACAACAAATGACCAAATCATGTTCTGACACATGATTTTTATTACTCACATAATACAAGGTAGAACAAGGCAGTTATTCGATTAGGTGTTTGTGATGTCAAGAATTTATATAACGGGCAAGGTCAAGTTAGAAAACATACACTTCCATTTGGGGTGAGGCGGTTTTTCGGTAAACCGAAAAAAAACACGATGTTTTTTGAAAACTGAAATACTCGATGGTACTTTTGAAGAAAAACCGGAAAAACTGAGGAAAAACGAAAAAAATCGGTATTTTACTAAAATGGAACCATACTTATACGAGTTTGTTGCAGATGAATCCAGTTTTGGCATTTACACACGAAAAACTAAACTCTTCAAAATATAAAGTCTTCAAAATATCTTACGTTTAATATCTTGCGTGAGTACTGAGTGAGTAGCGTGTTGTGCCTTTTTACTGTAGTTTCGATTTTCGAACGTATTTTTTATTTTTTTTAAAAAACCGGTTTCGGTTTTTTTTTAGAAACCACCTCACGCTACTTCCATTGTAAGTTGTAACAGCATAAAAACATTGGTAAACACGTATACTTTCTAATTAGCTTTAATACTACTTTAATACTAAAGTTCCGATAAACAATTCTGTTTTTACACAAACGTATTCTGAAGTCGTTCGTTCATGTTGATTTCTTTGTATTTTCACCCGCGCATGTAGCTATTACCTAATCACAAAGTTTCTTTTTTCCCTTCGTTTTTCATGCAGCATTTGTTTTATGTACATGTACTTAGCCCTTATAGGAAATTTGCAAGCAGTTTCTCTATAGTTTGACATATTACTATTAATTTGATTATTGTTCACAGGTATGGAGCGGCATTCATTCATTCATTCATTTATTAATTATTCACCATATAATACAATACAACTATACGCTAATCCGCAAATAGCAAATGCTAATCGAGGCTATGTCGCTCATATAACTTTTATCTTATCCAAACGGAGCTAACTTAAATTTTGATAGGTCATACATGCGATTTCACGAAATATTGACTGAGTCTGAGATATCATGCAGCGTTTAAACTTGGCTAAGCATTCTCGCAAGAGTCAAAAATTAGTCAAAAATGACCGATTCAACTAACGTGATAACATAACGCTGGGCATCGCAAGTGTTACTTACTGGGAGAGCTATAGTGGTGACTAAACGCCAAGATTTACTGTGGCCATCAATTTCAGATTTGACAGTGTCCAATTTTTTTTGTGGCTAGTTAAAATCAATATCAAATTTGGAGTATATGCTACATCATCTTATTCCTCTAGTACTTGGCCAGGATACCATTATAATACCTCTTACTACCTTATTCCTTTTGTACTTGGCCACATATATACAATATCATTATAATACCATTAGACTCTTATTCCCTCTTACTCCCTTATTCCTTTAGTACTTGGCCACAATATCATTATAATACCATTAGACTCTTATTCCCTCTTACTCCCTTATTACTTTAGTACTTGGCCACAATATCATTATAATACTATTAGACTCTTATTCCCTCTTACTCCCTTATTACTTTAGTACTTGGCCACAATATCATTATAATACCATTAAACTCTTATTCCCTCTTACTCCCTTATTACTTTAGTACTTGGCCACAATATCATTATAATACCATTAGACTCTTATTCCCTCTTACTCCCTTATTACTTTAGTACTTGGCCACAATACCATTATAATACCATTAGACTCTTATTCCCTCTTACTCCCTTATTCCTTTAGTACTTGGCCACAATATCATTATAATACCATTAGACTCTTATTCCCTCTTACTCCCTTATTACTTTAGTACTTGGCCACAATATCATTATAATACCATTAGACTCTTATTCCCTCTTACTCCCTTATTACTTTAGTACTTGGCCACAATACCATTATAATACCATTAGACTCTTATTCCCTCTTACTCCCTTATTACTTTAGTACTTGGCCACAATATCATTATAATACTATTAGACTCTTATTCCCTCTTACTCCCTTATTACTTTAGTACTTGGCCACAATACCATTATAATACCATTAGACTCTTATTCCCTCTTACTCCCTTATTCCTTTAGTACTTGGCCACAATATCATTATAATACTATTAGACTCTTATTCCCTCTTACTCCCTTATTACTTTAGTACTTGGCCACAATATCATTATAATACCATTAGACTCTTATTCCCTTTAACTCGTTTATACTAATTTAACTGAAAGCAGCAAGTGACCCCAAAAGAATAATTGTGCAACTAGTATAAACATTTAAAAATTGCAAGCAAGCAACACAAAATGGATTAAACATTCAAAGATTTTAGTACTTTTTGCTCCTAGGAATAAGAGAAAAAAATGAAAAGCGTTGTCCTATTTCAGGCATGGTATAAGAGTGGCAACGAAACGTATGAGAATAAGAATAAAATATATCTTGACACACACATAGCCATGCACCTGCGGAATTAACAGCGTCTTCTATCTTACAAGATGAACATTACTGCAAGGTATGGCTGAAAAGTGTTCTTGATTTTAACAAAAGCGTTTAGTGTTTACAATAAAATTTTGAATGATTAGAAAAAGATTAGCATTTGTATGTTGCGAAACGTCGGGATGACCGTTGAAAAACCATGATAAACGCATTTTGCTTGTTGAATTTAACCATTTGGAACCAAGTAAATGTGCAGCGGAAGCAGAAAGAACAGCGCGATGAGCAGCATATCGGCCACAGTCAAAGAAGAAATGACTGAAAGTCTCACTGGTTGAACCACAAGAACATAATGGCGATGGCATGCAATTTATTAAGAACAAATAATTATTTAAGGTACAATGAAACAGGCGAAAACGGGTATGAAGTATGGAGGCGTAGCGATTACCAATGTAGAACAATGTATTTGGAATTGGATCGTCACGCCAAATTTTGAGATTGGTTTTAAAATGAGGTAAAGATTCAGAAGTTCGAACGTTTAATGGCAAGCTATTCCAAAGTTTAATTTGAAGAAATGGCAAAATATTTTTGAAGACGTTCTGTCCTAGCAAATGGAACACAAAGGTCATCATGTGTCTGTAGCATATAAGCTGATTTCGTGCGTATGTGTTCAGGACACAATTCAAGTAGGTATGGTGGTGCTAAATTATTCAAAATTTTGAACATCATAAAAAGCTTATGATCAGAGCGTCAGGATCTGAGCCTAACCCAAGCTGTTTCCTTAAGTAGACTTTCATGACTCGTTCCTTTTATAGCACCCGTAACTAATCGAGCCACATCGATCTACAATTTTTCAAGAAGATCACTATCGGTTTCTGTACAACCATCCCAAATAATGTAATCTAAACACGATTGAACTAATGATTTATACAGAACATCAAGGGTTTTTCTTTTTAGAATGAACTTTAAGAGTTTAAGCATATTTAGTTTTTTAGAAGCCTTTTGATGAATTTTCAAGATATGAGGGCGCCACAAAAGATTAAAATGCAAGTGTAACACCTAAATGCTCATGAGAAGTGACAGCCCTAATTATTGTATTAGTCATATAAAGTGGCGGATGAAATGGTTTGTCCCTTTTACATGTGAAAATCATGGTTTCTGTTTTTTCGGGGTTCATAGTGACAAGCCATTGGTTTGACCAAGCCACAATTGTAGAGAGATCATTATTTAATTTGTTAGCCGAATCGACCAGCGAAATTACTTCCTCCATTAATAATGAGTCATCAGCAAATAGAAAACAGTCAGATGAAATATTAGTTGCAATATCATTGATATATATTAGAAACAAAAGAGGGCCAAGTACAGATCCCTGTGGAACCCCAGCTTTAACATTTTTCCATTTAAAACTAGTTCCTTCGGTTGTAACACGTTGCTGCCTTCCAGTTAAGTAACTTTCGAACCAAAGTAACAATGAGCCGTTTATTCCAATACTCCTTAATTTAGCAATTAGGCCTTTGTGCCAGACTCTATCAAATGCCTTGGAAATATCAAGAAAGACAGCTCTTACTTTGTTACCCCTCTCTAATGCATTATAAATCTTGTTCACAATGTAAATTAACTGCATAACTGTAGAATCACAAGGACGAAAACCAGACTGAAAGCGATAAAAAAATCCACAGTTTTCGAGAAAATTATATAATCTCATAAACAATTTTCTCACAAATTTTGGATAAATTGACTAATAATGATATAGGGCGATAATTATTCCTTACTTGTCTGTTGTCTTTTTTAAATAGTGGAATCACATTGGCAAATTTCCAAGCATTTGGATATTGGCCAAGGCGAAACGAGGTATTTAATAAGCGAGTAAAAGGTTTGTGAATACCAATAGCGCAAAGTTTGATAATTCGATTGCTGATATTATCCAAGGATATTGGACAGGATATTGTTGAAAGATTTCCCTACCAATTTACTGCGGCCTCTTTTGAAATTGAAGATTTTTAAAAGCATTATATTATTTGCTCTGTCTGTGTGTTACTTTAAGTGTACCCTGGTTTCAGAGGCTCTTTGCCTCAAGAAACAAGAGGCGAGAAAGGAGAGCCTCTGGTCACATCAGGGCCGTATCACCAGGGGGCAGTAAGGCTTATATGTTGAAAAAAGTCCTAAATATCCACAGAATAATTAATGACATTCTAAAAATTGTAAATACAGTTTTCTTTAGGGGGCAGTTGCCCCTGCCGCCCCCTCCCCTATGCTGTGTATGGCCCAGGATGACATTAATTGCAACTTCCACACTTGATTAGGTTCAGAATTTGAATCTTGCATGTGATTGGCCATTTGTAAAAATATGTCAAACCGGTTTGGGAAATAAACATTGCTGTAAGCTAATTATAGCCTGTATTAAAATTTCTATTAAACTCAACCAAGCATGTATTACATGTCCTGCAAAACTGATTAACCCATTAAGTGCCAGCGCTCTCCCCTTGACAAGTAAAATCGTCTGGCATTAGACAGAGTAAAATACTAAAGTAGGGTGCATCAGGGTGCAATGCGACTCAATGGATTAACTAGACACATGGGCAGATAGGCCAGTTAACCCATTAAGCGCCAGCACTCTCCCCCTGACGAGTAAAATCGTCTGGCGTTAGACAGAGTAAAATACTAAAGTAGGGTGCATCAGGGTGCAATGCGACTCAATGGATTAACTAGACACATGGGCAGATAGGCCAGTTAACCCATTAAGCGCCAGTGCTCTCCCCCTGACGAGTAAAATCGTCTGGCGTTAGACAGAGTAAAATACTCTGGCGTTAGACAGAGTAAAATACTAAAGTAGGGTGAATCAGGGTGCAATGCGACTCAATGGGTTAATATTAATATGTTTATCTCCTGAGAAATTTGATACCTTTTTACCTGTAGAGTATTAATATTCATGCTTGGTTGAGTTTAATAGAATATTTTAATACAGGCTATAATTAGCTCACAGTAGTGATTATTTCCCAAACAGGTTTCACATATTTTTACAAATATTGAACCTAGTCAAGTATGGAAGTGGGATTTGCAATCGATGTGACCGGAGGCTCTCCGTTCTTGCCTCTTGTTTCTTTCACCTTACAAAGAGGCCTCTAGAACCAGGGTACACTTAAGAATAACACACTGGCAGACAAATTGCTGCAATTGAACTAAGTACCATGCAGTCAATATATCCCTGCCTGCCCGATTCGAATCTAGGAAATGTGGGGTTCATGGGGCAAAGCAGGGTCACTGAGACAAAACCAGATATTTATATAATCCAGCAATATTGATTATATGAAATAATATAAAAATTCGAATATTTATGACCCCTGTACGCCAACAAAAACAGTCAGAACGAAAATGTCAAAACCTAACACACCCGTTAGTCAGTTGAAAGAAAAAGAAGTAAGAAAAAGCAACAATATGAACGAAATTCAAGAAATGTTTAAAACTGTACTAAAGAAACTGGAGAAGCTTGATAGCATGGAGAACGATATGAAAGAGATTAAAGCATCGCTCGAATACGCGCAGGCAGAAATCGTAGATCTAAAGCAGGAAAATGAAGTAATGAAGAAAAGTCACGGAACATCAATGAAAAAAGTCGAAAAATTGGAGCGAGATAATGAAATGCTGCGCAACAAAATCGTTGACCTTCAGGCAAGGTCAATGCGAGATAATCTTTTATTCTTTAACATGCCAGAAAACGTTGAAGAAAATACAACAGAAATGATACATGACCTTTTGGAAAATAAAATTGGAATTGAAGATGCAAGAAATAAAATAAAGATTGATAGATCTCACAGAGTTGGGTTAGGTAAGGATGAACGCAAAGAGACTCAAAGGAACGAAAATTGGAATTTCGGAGCAGTTCCCAGAGGAAATTGAAAGTATTCGGAAGACGCTATATCCCGAGTTGAAAAAGGCGAAACGAAAAGGTAAAAGAGCCAAAATCGTAAAGGATAAACTGATAATTGAAGGGCAAGTGTATAATAGTCATATTAGTCAAAATAGATCTTGAAACACTATCTATTAAATACTACATTTATAATACTACATTATGGCTAGTTTAAATCATGTGGGTAGCATAAAGGAAAGATGCTCTTCTTGTTTAAAAATAATTAGGGAAAAGCAAAATTTGCTAAAATGTCTGACATGTGGCAGATGGTTTCACGCTGTTTCTTCCTGCGTGAAGTCACTCGACACCAACATTGCCGCAGGAAGTTCAAACAACATGTATCAAAATTGTTTAGCTGAAAATTTACCATTCCAAACACTTGATGATTTAGACTACCAATTTACTGTATTAAAACGGAAATAATGTTAGTGAACAGGATATGGATAGACTAAGGCATTTAAAATTTAATCCTTTTGAAGCAGATAGAAATATTGCATTGACAGAACACAATGGGAATTTGAATAATTTAGCAAAGATAAACTGTGAATATTATCTACCAAATGACTTCAATCAACTGGTAAAAAAAGAAAATTTTAATAATAAATTTTCAATGATGCACTTAAACATTAGAAGTTTAAATAATAAATTTGATACATTTAGACAATTACTAAACTCATTAATTATACCATTTCATATTATAGGAATAACTGAAACCTGGCTAAATGGTAATAGTGATGATCTTTTTAAGTTAGACAATTACGACTTTGTAAATGTGAACAGAACCAATAGAAGCGGAACCAAATGAAATGAAATACAAAATACGCAGTGATCAAATCATAAATGATGAAAATATAGTTGAATCTGTTTTTATTGAAATTATAACCCATAAAAAGAAAAATATAATAATAGGTGTAATTTATAGACCACCCAATAGTAAATATGACTTATTCGAAAATGAAATTAACAAAATACTAAGTAAAATTGACAAAGAAAATAAGATATGTTATTTGATGGGAGATTTTAACTCAATTCGATCCGCCAATATTAATTTCCGACGTATATGACTGGAAGATTAAATATTAAAGAACTTCGCGAGTATTTGCAGTAGACATACGAAAATACCACCAAAAAATTCCGCTTGATCGATACTATATATTCAGAAATATTCATATAATTTTATTGTTTCTCGCTCAATTTCAAGCGAATTTCTTACCTTGAAATGATCAATGCGGTGAAATTTATGCAAATGACACATTATCAATTTTGCTGTTGCATTTTGAATGTTCCGCCTGATTCAAATGCTCGTCTTTTTGCTTCTTTTCAACGTATAATAATAACAAATATACCAAAAGAATCGCCATCTTCCATTCTATAGCTCGGAGCAGTCTCGGGAAATTGCAAAATAATCTAAGCCTATTATGGCAATTCTCGTGATCGGAAAGTGTTCGGCCAACTTCGGACGCCAAATTCTTGGTAAAGCATTACAGTTTCCTGGTAAAAGACTGCAGGAATCACTTCCGGAGTGTTTGTTTACCCTAGATACGGATTTTGATTGGCTTAGGCAGAAAAACAAATCTTTTAGAGCAATTTTCCTGATTATCGCGCACGGGAACGCACGAGCGTTGAAATGTATTGTGTTGTAGTTTTGTTTGAATCGCATTCTGAAGACGTTTTTGGCTTTATTTTGCAAACTGATAGTGCTAGTAATGATGGAATGTCTTCGTATGAAGACAAGTATCTCAACCTGGCATTGGGAGTCGTGTCTGGAGTTTCAAGGCAAGTATTTGTATCATTTCTAGACAATTTCTATTTCAATGTTTTGCCGTTGCCATGGCGTTGTAAATTTATTTGTATTTAGTATAGCTTCACTAGTACGACCAAGTATGTCCTCATATCGCTTTTTTGTGTTGAAATAATCGTTTCATACTGAAATTGACAAATATAAATGGTATTTATTTATATTGTTGACGAAAATTTATGGTGTTTTAGGCATAAAAATCTCTGATTCCTAGGCGAAGTAAAATGAGCCTTGAGCACATGTTTGGTTGTTTGTTACATACATAATAGCCAAGTATTCATACTTATATCTTACTAGTTGGCTCTTATTATAATTTTAAGTGGCACCATGTCTATAAAAGTTTTTATTCGCACTGATGAATATATTGATCCTGTTCCTATCTGCTGTTCCTGTTTCATAGCCTCAGGGAAGTAGAGTTCTGATGAGTCATGAGAACCCCACTCACCAACCCAGAGGGAAGGTAGGGGGATGAGTAGAGGTAGAGGGAAGCCCAGCCATTAGGACCTAAGGTTTCGAAAGCTCCCTGTCTAGCATCCCCACTAGGCCCCATAGTACATGACGGATATGATGATCCTGACGCCAGGAATGTTCTCCCAGATTTTGCTCCTCACTGACATGTCCGGGATCCATTTCGATCAACTGTGAGCTTGAGTTCATTCAGGCTCAATGAACTGTGAGCTTGAGTTCATTCGACTCTTTTTTACTAAGGGAATGCTTCAGGAGGTAGTTTCCTGGCCATACCAATACATATGCCCACATACAAATAACTCAAAAGTTATCCCCATATACTAATAAAAGAAGGGTCTTGCAGTCCACCAACCTTGAGAGGTTGATTGCCTTTTAGTATAATATGCAGGTTTGCTAAAGTCGACAGTGAGATTGAAAATTATTGGAGTGTAAAAACCTTATATCATGGTCTGTGGGCAATAGACATAATTTCTCGGGTTAGGTACAAAGCGCTTATGGCGTTTGTGAATATGGTAGATCCTGTACTAAAGACTACAGCAATAAACTGCATCAACAACTGTACCAGCCGTCACAGAATATTGTTGTTGCAGACAAACACACTGTCAAATCAAGAAATAGGTTGGGGGTTAGGCAGTTCATGAAAGCTAGATGACCTACTATGTGGGGAATAAATCTGTGGGTTGCTGCAGACAATCCTAATGGTTATATTGCGACTTTGAAATTTATACAGGAAGAAGTCCAGATATTCATCGCAACAGATTTGGGTATGACGTGGTGATCTGATATCAGTTTGGTTACAGTCTTAGGTCTTTTGTAGTACAATATAAAGGAAATATTTTCACCACATAATCCAATTATGTGCTTTGGCAAACATTACTGCTTTAGCAAACATTACTGCCTTGGAAAACATTACTTTTTTATAACTACTAATTATGATGATGCCAGCCCAACAACACTTGGTCATGCTATTTGCAAATATTTTCATGTTCTAGATTGTGAAAACAATCAATTTCTAAACAAGTGAGTAGTGATTATTTCAATAGCATGACCAAATTTTGAGGCTGGTTATGCCACTAATAACTAAAGTCAATGGTGTAATGATTATCTAAGAATGTATGTAGTAATTGTAGAAATAAAGACATTTTGCTAATCATGATTTGAGTGTTCTTTTGTGGGTATCACAGACTTATTTTGGTGCCATACTATCTTTGGAGAGTAAGAAATATTGGAAATTTGTATTGATAACATGTTGCAGCAATAAAAAAGGACCTTTGATAAAGGTATTTGTTTCATGTGAGCACAAAATGTAAATTTTACTCCACTACCTAGTTTATATAAAAATTCAATAAAAATATTTCTATTTATGCTACATGCATGAAACTTCGGGTACTTGTAGATCATAACCGTGTCTTTCAGTCATATTCATAAATTTTTTTGACATATTTGAAATTTGAACCGCTAAATACATTTATGCATAATTGCAACATTTTTTTATATCATAATTTATGCAAATTTATGCGAGTAAATCGTTAACTAAGCTCCGGATGAAATTGAAATTGGTATCGTTGGAAAGCAGAAGTCCTCCTCTTTCGAACGATGCAATTTCTGTTTCCGTGCGATGTATAGTTTGAGAGATATAAGCGTTTGAAACAACACCACTCGAAATTGCTACTTTTCGACCGTATGAGAATGAGTTAATATCAACCTGTTAAAATCAGAATCTTGTGATTATGCTAGTAGATTTCTTGAACAATTACTTACATCATCGTATATTCCACTTATACTAAAACCAACAAAAATCACACAGCTACACTTATCGACAATATTTTTACTAATGATATTGAAATTACAAATTCTAGTTCAAATGGAATAATTTTCTCTGATATTTCTGATCACTTGCCTGTCGTACATGTACGTAATTCTGAAACACACAAAGAAACTCTTCCGAAAAATGAATACGTTTTGAATAGAAATATTAATGGTTGAAACACCCAATCATTTACCAACACAATCAAAGGTCTTTCTTGGGAAACAGTTACTTCAAACCATGATGGAATAGAGTCATATAATAATTTTTTAAATATATTTTCATCAACCTATGAAGAAAACTTTCCGTTAACCAAAAAGAAGGTAAAAACAAAAACTGACAAAAGAAAAAGCCCATGGATGACCAAAAGTATTGCTAAATCAGTTAGGATAAAAAATAAACTCTATAAGAAATTTATGTGTCACCCTACAACCAACAACCAACACAAATACAAACAATATAAGAATAAGCTGAATCATATTATAAAAATAGCAAAAAAGAAACATTATGAAGAACAATTGATCAAATACAAAAATGAACCAAAGTTATTATGGAGTACTTTGAATGAAATTATGAACAAACGCATGTGAGAAAGTAATCTACTACAAAACAATTTTCAGGAACCAATCCTGGAGAAATAATAAGCAATCCTCACGAAATAGCCAATAAATTTAATGAGTACTTTACAAGTATTGGGCCAGGGATTGCCAGTAAGCTTCCAAATATTGAAAAAACATTCAATGAGTACTTATCTAACAGATGTAAAAACAGCTTTTTTATTGAACCAGTCACTAAGTTCGAGGTAGAAGTTGAGATAAAAAACTTAAATTCCCAAAAAAGTCCAGGATATGATGGTATAAGTACAAAAATTATCAAAAATGTTGCAAAAGAAATTTCTGAACCTCTCTCATATATATATAATTTAACATTTGTCAGTGGAATTATTCCAGAGACATTAAAAATTGATTTAGTCACTCCGATTTTCAAAGATAATGAAAAAGATAAATTTAATAATTATCGACCAATATCTGTCATTACTTGTTTTGCTAAAATTTTGGAAAAGCTTATGTATAAGGGATTAACCAAATTCATAGCAAAAAATAAGATACTCACTAAACATCAATATGGTTTTAGAGAGAATAGATCAACTGAACTAGCAATAATTGAACTTACTGATAGAATTACAAAAGCAATTGATAAGGGAGAATATACATTAGGTATATTTCTTGATTTATCAAAAGCTTTTGACACTATTAATCACAAGATGATTCAAAAACTAGAACACTATGGTATAAGAGGGATAACACAACATTGACTAATAGAAAACACTTTTCAAACTATTTGACTAATAGAAAACAGATTGTAAAATATAATGAAATAAGGTCAAAGGAAATGATAACTAAAACTGGTGTCCCACAGGGATCAACTTTAGGACCAATTCTTTTTCTGCTATATATAAATGACATTGAAAATAGTAGTAAATTACTATCATTTATATTATTTGCAGATGACACAACTATTTCTTGTAGCAACAGTTGTTTAAAAACTCCTAACAACACTATGCAGACTGAAATAAACAAAGTTACTGAGTGGCTAAACGCCAATAAATTATCCTTAAATTTTAAAAAAACTAAAATGATATTATTTAGGTCTTCAAATAAGAAACCTAAAACAGAAATAAAACTTAGAATAAATGAACAAAATATAAAACAAGTTAAAAATACAATATTTCTCGGTATTATCATTGATTTATGTTTAATGTGGAATGAGCATATAATATAGCTCAGGTGGCGAAAAAGATCACTAGAGCCAACGGTATTATTGCTAAGATTAGGTATTTCCTAAATCGAAATACTTTGAAATTAATATATTATGCATTGGTCTATCCATGTCTTATTTACGGCAATTTAAGTAAGAGTTAATTACCGAGGAGGGCTTTATGCTATATACAGCCCCGAGAACGCGAAGCGTTCGAGGGCTTTATATGGCATAAAGCCCGACATTCGAGGTAATTAACTGACTTATTTCATGATTGAAGAGGTTTTCTAACAAAGTTTTATCAGTTGTTTATAAGAGTTAAGTGTTTTTCATTTGCAAAAGACATTGTGAATAAATATAAACTTAGTATAAATGTGTCAAAGAAGAAAGCTTTGTGAAAAGAGTAAGGAACAGTAAACTTTGTATTAAAATACATATTTTACAGATTTTTATACAGTAATAGTATAAAGTAGCCAGAATAAACCTAAACCATCTTAATTAAGTATATTTAAATTATTTACAATATGTTCCGACATGTCACATGCCTTCCTACTCAATTTATTAAATGAGTATTTATTCAAGTTGTGTATTCTTGGGTTACATGTGACATCACAAAAGTGACAGGGGGGGGGGGGGGGTCAACTCTAAAACAAAACACAGTTATCAGAGTGAGTTGTTCGTTTTATCTATTAACCTTGTGTTTGGTGGCAAATACAAGGAATTTCATATCATTTTCTCACAGCATAATCATCAATACATTTGAGGTTGACCCCTGTCAGATTCACTGCATAATGCTGTAGTGAAACCCAAGAATAGATTAATTTTACAGACTTTTGTAAAATCCCTAACATTTGTTCAGAAACAACAAATTTAAGGAAAGCCCCTTTTTTAAGGGGGGGGATAAATCTTGCCAAAAAAGACAATAAAGGGAGGGTTAAAATTTTTTGTAATATTAAATGTGGGGTTATTGAAAAAGGATGTGTTGATTAAAAAAGGGGGGATAAGCAAAAAAGCTGTCATAAAAATTGAGGAACAAGATTTTTTCAAAAGTGCAAAAGGATGAAGACTAAATTTCAGGAGGATTTTTGGCCTTCAAAAAAATTCATATCATATTCATATCATATTGAATTAAAGTTGGCATGTCATGTTGATTATTTTGTTGATGAATGTTTTTTAGATACTACATAACCTTAAATTTAACAATAATATTAATTCTGCAGCATTTGAAAGCATCAACCTGTCAATTTTGGTCTATAAAAAGCTTTAAAAAGTTGTCACAAGGGGGGGGGGGGGGAAAAGTTTAAAAAAGGGCAGGCATTGGTAAGAAATTTGCAAAAGGCAATAATGAATCTGTTTGCGGTTGAAAAAGCATTGAAACTGTAAAAGGTGTCTAAGGCCTCGTTTACATGAGACCGGAACGAAGTCAAACCGGGACCATTTCGTTTCGGTCATAGTATTATTTATAATAGATGTTTACATGAGACCGGGACGAAAATAACTCAGACCGGTCTCAAGTCATTCCGCCTGCTAGACCGAACCAACTGACTTCAGACCGGCATGAATTCAGACCAGGATGAATGTAAACACAAATACATTTCAGACCGGTCTCGGCTGTAACCTTGACATTGGAACAACACATGCTAACAAAAGTCATGTAAAAAAGAAAATTGCTTGGCAAGGGAAATAAATTGAAAATTTTGTGATTTTCATACCGGTCTCATGTAAATTACATGTTGACAATTTCAATTTTCATTTTGGTTTGACTTCATCCCGGTCTCATGTAAACAGGGCCTAATATATGATGGGCAGCAGTCTCAAATGATTTTCTAAAACTAACTATAATATATTATAGTCAACATTTTGAGTAATGCCTTCTTTAGGTTGAAAAAATCCATCAAGATTGAAGCATCAATACAACCTGCACTAATTCATGCATTTGTAATTATACTGTAAAGGACTACCTCTTATTGTCCATGCAAAATTCTCAACTATCTACAAAATATTATTAGGCAAAGTCAGTTTAGAAATGTTCTATTCTTTTGACTGTTTTTCATTTAATTTTCGTTTTGGCAAAGGTTCATCACTATGCTGAACCACTTCTGTCATTTCCCAGAATGCCTGTCTGCTACTAACATTACCTTCAACTGATGATGGTGCTATATCCATAAAGGGTTTGCAAACTCAGAAACATCCGGCCTCTTTCATCAGCGGTATGTTCCCCTTCCCTGGACCCAATTGCTGCTTTCCAATCCTCCAAGTACTTTATGAAGGTATTGTCCAGCCATTGGTATCACTATCATTTGTGCTTCAATATAAATCCAGAACATGGTTGTGGAGTGGACATTGGGACAATCAAGAAAGCTGTTCATCATTTTGCAGAACTTAGCAGTTTCATCTGCTTCACCAGATGGGTAATGACGCTGAAGGGCTTCAGAAACGGTGTTACTTGATGTAATCAGCTGTCAACTTTGGTAATTGGTGTAAAGCACAATCAAGATCAGAGAAATACATTTGTGCAATGTGGTCCCACAGCATGTATTTCCCATTGTTCCACATGTAGCAAGTACGCTTCCTACTACCAGAGTTGAATAAACAATTCCTGGCTGTTTTTACCAAATGTGGGAGGTCAGAAAAATAGATTTTTCTGTCAGGTGCAAAGACATTGAATGTCCAATACATGCCATCTATCTCTGTGCTAGCTACGTCAGCATGGAGTTGAAAGAACAGATGATGTGGTGAGGCACCATCACACACTGCTGCAAAAACCCACAGGTTACAGGGTTGCCACCGTGAATTGGAAAGGTGGTGCTTACAGGAACATTGAAATAGACTTGTTTCAGGAAAACCGCAATTGCGAAATGAAGAAATTGATTAAGTCTATGGGTGCTAACAAGACAGAAAATGCAATCGGCAGAGCAAGCAAAGCATCAGGAGGGGTGACAAAGATGGCCGAAGCATTTGAGGATCAGGTAAAGATGCGCAAGAAGTCTTCAGCGCATCCTGACAAGTCAGCAACTGAGGATGAAAGGTTGATAAGTAAGGACTTACAGGACTTACGACCTTTTAGGAAGGAAGATGGTAGGATGTTTGAAACATTTGCTGGCATTTCACACAACCCTATACAAGATGTTAATGAACAAACATGAATGGACTGACAGATATAAGAACAATATTCTGATGCATTACCCTGATGACTCAGAAGAACCAGATTGTCCAGATGAATAAACTTTAATTCTGGAGTTCATCTTATAAATTGGTATTTGGTAATGGTACTTTATTGTACAGTACATCTGCATATAATAAGCTGGCATTTTTGTTGATTGAAATATGCACTTTCAATAATTACAGTATATCACAACTACACTGTTTTCAACTTAGGGCCACCTTGAATGGAAAAGATTTCAAGTTTTTTTCTCATGGGCTGTGGACAGAGAAGCATAACATACTTCAACACATGCATGAAAAATAATTCTTTATTTTGACCAGTAAATGTGGAAATAAGCTTTAACACAAAAACGAGGCTCCGTGTCATGACTTGTAGCCTTGTTTCCATGTTAATGCTTATTTCCATATTTATTGATCAAAATCCAAAATTTTTTCATGCACATGTTGAAAAAGGTTGTTCTGCTTCTCTGTGCATAGCCCATGAGAAAAACAAACTTGAAATCAATTGCATTTAAGGTGGTCCTAAGTTGAAAACAGTGTAGTTGTGACATAATTATCGAAAGGGTGTATTGTACTATATCAAATCCAATAATAATAAAACTCATTTGCTGCCATTTGATGCCCAAATGTGATGACAAGTGTTTAAGAGCGACTGTCTACAAAAATCAAACAAAATGAGAAATATGTGGCAAGGCTCAAAATTTTAAATTCGCTCTACTTTTGAATATAAGTTGACTATGGTGAAGTGAGAAACGTTATGTGGTTAGTTTTTAAAAATACTCTTTTGTTTATGAAAAAAGGCAAAAAAATGTTTCAGCTGTGAGGACCGATTTTCGCAATCGAAAATGGCCGAAATTGCGTATGTTTACTTAATCCTGGTATCCAAACCCTAAATCCAAATAGCCTTATTATACTTTCTGTTAAAGCTACATCACTCCCTCGTTTTGAACATTTGTGCACAATAAAGAGTGACGGGTACTGATTTTTAATGTTTGTCATTGCATGTAAAAAGTGGCAGATTTCTCCATTTGCCATCCTTTCAAATCTTATGGGATTTTGCACAAGCACTATTGGGAAACTGCCCTTTTCAGAAATGTATTATTTATTTTGGGCAAATAAATTCACACGCTTTGAGAAAGAGTTAACTTTGGTTCATTAAATATGCAAAATCACTGTTTCGCGATTGCGTGACAAAACACCCCTTGCAATCTGAAACTCACTTAAAACATCATTGTTCTTCACCTTTAGTTTAGAGAATTTGAAGAAAACATAAATATACATACCTTGAATGCAAAAAGTTCCTTTGAGCTGTTCCACTTTTGGAGTTAGCCCTAACTTAACTACATATTAAACTCAAAGTTCAAGGAGTCCAGCTAACAATGTGACGGATATTAACTAATCATGATAACAATAGCATAGCGGCGTGCGGATCGCATTTTTTCGACAATAATCCACATAAAAACAATATTAAAAATACAAGTAATGCATCACAGTGGCATTACTTTCGCCAAATCGACAGGAAGCCCACCACCTATAATGTAAACATTTGGTGACAAATAGCTTTTTCAATATGTCAGTATAAAAATAAAATAGAATTTCTGTAATGTTAACTTTGACTGTTTGTTTCTAATAATATTAATAATTGTAAATAAAAGTAAATTACAGCAATAAAAAACCCTCAATTCGCAATAATACACTTAATAGAAAAAAATATTAAAAAAGAAATGACAACATTACAGTAATACATCGCAGTGGCATTACTTCCGCCAAATCGACAGGAAGCCCGCCACCTATAATGTAAACATTTAGCTTTTTCGATATGTCAGTATAAAAATAAAATAGAATTTCTGCATCATTAATTTTGACTCTTTGTTTCTAAGAATATTAATAATTGTAAATGGAACACGAATGGAAGTTGTGTGAATTGTTAGCTGATTTCTGATAGATTGGATTCCAAGAACTTTGAGTCGATGTATAAGGCGGAGATGTAAACAACCGAACAGTCGATAATATTAAATTCCTGTTATAAACTCCAAAAGTGGAACAGCTCAAAGAAATTTTTTTCATTCAAGGTATGTATATGTATGTTTTCTTCAAATTCTCTAAACTAAAGGCGAAGAACAATGATGCTTTAAGCGAGTTTATTTCAAGGCAGGGCCGTAGCAACCGGGGGGCTGGGGGGGCTGCAGCCCCCCAATAATTTTGCCAATGATGATTATTTTTTTCAAAATCATGCAGCTTTTATCATTTAAATAATATACCTTTAAAATACTGACAATTGATTAATTTAAGCGGCTATGTCATTTCCTGCAACTTATCCAATACATGGTTAATTAAATTAGTACACCTTCGCCCATTGATGGCCTTCGTCGCCCCTCGACATTCTCGTTGGCCGCCATCTTCCATTTCATACAGCACCATTCGGTATACTTGGTGTAGTCGTCATTATAACGTAACAATGTCAGAATAAACTTCATTTTACGCAACGCTATCGCTTAGTTTTTTGGATTGGTATATATTAAAAAAGAAAGCAAATTAAAAATCAAAGCATTTATATAATGAACCGACAAGGCATCGGATAATTAATCATCCAGTTTGGACTTTTCTAATCTCTTTTGATAATTACGTTTTAATTTGTTTGGTATATACTGATCAATCTGATGTCTTGAAGAAACCAAAAGTCAATTTTGTCCTTTTTTAAAAACAAAAGCTCTGAAAAAACGCCCAGGTAAGTCTTATTTGAAGGATTTATAGCGTAGCTTAAGTCCTATAGATAATTTTTTTGTAACTCATGCTTTAAATAGCCCTTTAATTTACATGCCTAAATAATGTATATTTCAAACTGAGAGAATTTTTACTGCATGTTCAGTGGTTTGCCATTGATATCGCAAAGCCAAGGTCAAGGACAAATCGAAGCAGCAGATGGCCAATGTGATACAATAACGGAAATACCAGGGCATGAAGCTGTGTCGCAAAATGATGAACGAAACTTTGCTGAATCCATCAACAAAAATGGAGACGAGATGAGGTATATGTTTAATTATTATATTTTATAATGTTATGTGATACAGGTGTATCAAAACATGTTATCGAACCTCAACAAGGTTTTGTTTCCAATCATCAAATATTCAGTTTAATGATCTATTTTTTTCAGAGAAAGAAAGAGGAGTTTTTGTGTCTTTCCAATGATATATTTTATTTTATTTTATTCTATAACTTTATTTTCACGTATACATTGTTATTTGACATCCACGGTATTTTGTTTTATGACAAACAGAAATCAGATAATTAGTTTATCATTTCTCAGGCCGGACAATTTATCATCGCTAACAAAGCCGTATTAACCTCGTAACATTACGTTTCCAAAGACCCAGTACAAGTTATTCAAGCGAGCGTTCCAAAGTGCTTGGTTTGATCGTTTTCTGTGGATTCACTATGTTGTGGTGAATGATGCTGCGTTCTGTTTTTCGTGTATCAAAGCTGCCTCGCAGAATTTAATAACTTCATCAAAAATTGAACAAGCATTTGTGACAGAAGGATTTCGAAACTGGAAAAAGGCTTGTGAAAAAAATTGCGGATTCTACAAGCACCAGCAATCTGATTGTCATTTGGAGGCTGCAGAAAGGTATCAGTATGCAACTTCAGGAGAAGACATTGGCTCTGTTTTATCATCAGAATATGAGCAAAAAAAGGAAACTAACCGCAAAATATTATTAAGGATTCTGTCAAATGTGCGATACTTAGGTGGGTAATTTATATAATTGTTCCTTTATAGTATCGGCTACTAATTTTACTATTTCAATTTTAATTAGTATATTAACAGAATTAACAATAATATATTATATATGTATAATATATATTAGTATAGCCTGTTGGCTAACTTAATTGTAGCTAAGCTGCATGTATGCATTGCTAAACTATAAAAGATGAATTACATTATAGCTCGTCAGTCGCTGCCATCCAGGGGAAACTGGAACCAGGAATATGGATCAGAGCACAATTCGAATTTCCATCAAATGCTTTTAGTTAGAGCAGAAGAAGATCCAGAAATAGTGCAATGGTTAAAACGAAAGCAAAACAAGTTTACCTCACCCGAGATCCAAAACGAAATGATACAGGTTTCTTTTTCTATTTACACTGACATGCAGCAGTTTGATGTTTGAGTATATACTTTGTATTCATGTAATATTAGACTAACATCTTTTCTTAAGGTTTTCACCCTCAAAATATTGAGAGAAATTGCGTCAAACATACGAAGTTCAGTTTTTTATACAGTCATGGCTGACAAGACGGCTGATGTGTCAAATAAAGAGCAACTTGTAATATGCATACGTTGGGTTGATGATTACCTTACTGCTCATGAAGATTTCATAGGAATGCATCCAATCAAAAGAACAACTGCTGATGTAATAGTCCATGTTCTCAAGGTGCTTCTCTTAAAACCTAAACGCATCACCTATTTTCGTTTTAACTTGCGTCTGCAGAGCCATTTTCAACATTGTATATCTTGTTTTAACTTTAGGACGTGTTACTTCGAATGAATTTTCGAATTGAAGATGCGCGTGGACAATGTTATGATGGTGCGGCCACCATGTCTGGGACCAAAACCGGTGTAGCAACTCAATTTAAGTCATTGAACGAAAAGATGCTCTTTACCCATTGCTATGGACACGCCTTAAACCTGGCTATCAAGGACACTTGCTTTAAAGTGGATTGTCTGAAAGAAACGTTTGAGACAGTCTACAAAATTTGCAACTTGGTGGAGAAATCACCTCAGCGCGATACCAAATTGATGGATCTCCGTGATGAATTTGAAAATGAGTCAAAGGGAGTACATTCCTTCTGCCCAACGCGTTGGACCGTAAGAGGAGAGACACTAAAATCCGTAATTGATAATCATAACGAACTTCTCGAACTTTGGACGTGGTCGCTTTCGGTTTTGAAAGACACTGGAATGAAGGCAAGAATAATCGGTGTCAGTACAGTGATGAAAACATTTTCATTTTATTTTGGTTGCTGCCTTGGAGTGTGTCTTCTAAGGCAAACTGACAATCTGAGTAAGACACTCCAAGATCCACGATTGTCCGCTGCAGAGGGCCAAGCCGTTGCTGCGAAAGTCTTGGAAACGTTACGTAAAGATCGAAATGACGAGAGATTTGCAATGTTTTGGCAAACACTAATGAGAAGAAAAGAAAACTTTCCAGAGATAGCAGACCCTGTGCTGGCGAGAAAACGGAAAGCTCCACAATGATTTTAGGATGGATCAACCGGCCATTTCTTTGAAACAGCTGAAGACCATTACAGAAAAATCTTCTATGAAGCTTACGAGAATGTGATTAATAGAATAGAAGCTCGATTTGACCAGAAAGACTTCAAGATCTACGTAAACTTACAAGAAGTTCTCTTGAGGTCCTTCAACGGAATCGACAATACTGACAAACTGGAAAAAACGGTGGCAATGTATAAAGGTGATTTTGATCAATTTTGTCTTGAAGCCCAACTGAAGCTTCTTCCGTCAATTGCACAAAATGCGGGTTACCAGGTTGGGAAAATCGATATTGCCGACGCGTTGAAGATTCTTCGAAATTTGGATCGCGGTGAAAAGCTTCTGTTGTCTGAAGTGATCATATTGGCAAAACTTGTCATAGTTGCTCCGGCCACAAATGCAGTTAGCGAAAGAAGCTTTTCAGCTTTAAAACGCTTAAAAACGTACCTCCGATCAACCACAGGAGATAATCGACTTAACCATCTAATGATGATACACGTGCATCAAGATAGGACAGACGAGTTTGATTTAAGAACGATCGCAAATGAATTTATTGCGGCAAATGAAAATAGGAAGCGTGTCTTTGGATTTTTTAAAGATTAGATAACTTTTGAATATCTCGTTTAATTGTTGGAGTAGGAATTCGTTTGATCAGAGATATAGGTAACTTAAATTAATTAAAACAGTTGGAGTTTATATGTTATGTTTATGCTAATAGAAAATATAAACTAAAGATTTATTGTACTAATTTAGTGCTACTAAATACTAAAAATCGTTAATTTCTACATGCTATAACGCTGTTTTCTGACCATCAGAATTTTGTCAAATCTTCACCAAAGTCTATGAAATAACATTTCATAGACTCTAAATTTAAAAATTTTCTCTATAAAGTATCGCGCATGCGGCGTTCGACTCCGGCCTTCAACCCTCGGTTTCAGCCCCCCCCAATCAAAAAGAGCTTCCTACGGCCCTGCAAGGGGTTTTTAGTCATGCAATCGGACCATTCGCGTAATAGACTAAATTTTTATCTAAACACAATATTTCATCACAGCTTGAAAGAGCATCACAAAATTAGTAATATTCCAAAATTTCGTTGCGAAATGTTGTAAAATGCGGATAATATAGCCCTGCGAAGTTTGCAATTTTCAGTCATTTTAGATTACAAACGGGAAAACAACATTTCGCCACAAAATTTTGGAATATTATTAATTTTGTGATGCTCTTCCAAGCTGTGATGAAATTTGTGTCTAGACTTGTCGAGATCAAAATTTAGTCTATTACGCAAATGGTCAATTGCCAAACAGTGATTTTTGCATATTTAATGAACCAAAGTTAACTCTTTCTCGTAGCGCGTGAATTTATTTGCCCAAAATAAATTAAACATTTCTGAAAAGAGCAGTTTTCCAATAGTACTTGTGCAAAATCTCATAAGATTTGAAAGGATGGCAAATGGAGAAATCTGTCACTTTTTACACGCAATGACAAACAATAAAGATCAGTACCCGTCGCTCTTTATTGTGCACAAATGTGTTCAGTTGTTCAATTATCATAAAACCACTTTTAATAAACGAGGGAGTGATGTATCTTTAGCAGAAAGTATAATAAGGCTATTTGGATTTACGGTTTGGATACCAGGATTAAGTAAACATACGCAATTTCGGCCATTTTTCGATTGCGAAAATCGGTCCTCACAGCTGAAATATTTTTTTTCCCTTTTTTTCATAAACAAAAGAGTATTTTTAAAAACTAACCATATGACGTTTCATACTTTGTCATAGTTAACTTAAATTCAAAAGTAGAGCGAATTTAAAATTTTGAGCCTTGCCGCGGTATGTTTGATTTTTGTAGAGACTCGCTCTTAATACGTTTTGCTGATAAATGGCAAAAACAAATTCAAACAGATGTTGCTTTTAAATGTCTAAACAGCAGATTATTTTACTCAACCGACCTCATACCCTAGGAAGGAAAGCCCAGGGTACTATAAGGCTGGATTTTAATTATCAGTATGGGGTACAAAACTGTCAGTTTATTTAAAATTGTATGGAGTTAACTAGTGGGGAACATTGCCAGATAATGAGTTAATGTAAATATAATGTTTATAATCATACATATGCTTTTAAAGGAATATACTGCACTTAGTGTATCTTGCGCATGTACACTTTTAACCTTTTATATAAATTTTGCACGTAATAAATAAAACAACAACAACAACAACAACATTTATTTGTGTCTATAAATTTACTTTTTTTTGACAGTTTTATCACATTCAACAAAAAGATAATTGCAAGACACCGGTTGCTTAAATAACCATAATGGGCCATAATGGGCTAACTTAATAAGCAACCGTAATGATTATTGCATGCAACACAAAGAAAAAATTATTGGATGTAACACAAAGAAAAAAGGAATGATTATTGCATGTAACACAAAGAAAAAATTATCTATTGATATTGATATTACTAATATGGTATACAGATTAGTTTTATTATTATACATTGTAGTTGGTAAAAGCAATTTGATTGGCTAAGCCTAGGAGCTTGCAGTTAAATCACGCAAGTGGTATCTATGACAAACATAATGTACATGTATAATAAAACAATTATTGAATTTTGTTTTTGCAATATGCAAAATTATCAAGGTCTCGGTAAGCATTATCAGCTTTGGCTCAGCTGATAACACTTACCTCGACCTTGATAATTCGGCATTCCACAAAAACCTCATCCAATAATTGTAAATAAATATTAATAATAATATTAATAATTAATAATATTAATATATTAATTAATATATTAATATTAATTAATTTCCTTAATGTAGATCTAGTGTTCTACATACTGTGGTTTGTTGGGCCAATCATATATGTGACAGTATATGACCTATGTCATCATGACAACAACATGAAGCCGAAACATGAGGCAAAACCAAAAATTATCCAAACAATTCCCAGCATATATAAACTAGGACAATGTAAGGGCATATAATAATAATAATAATTTCATTCCAACTTTTGCAATTGAATTGAATAGCTACCATTATAATTATAACATTTGTCAAACATGTGTGCCAGCAAATACTATTTAGCGGTCTTGATAAATAAAGGCCCATATGAACATGCACTATAAGAATACAATGTGTTTTCCTTCAAATTACAACTTATAGTTTCTGAAAAAGAAGGTGTAAGCACACTGAACACTTGCAATGTTCCTCACATACATTACAACAAAGGTGTAATTGTTCCACAGAATTGTTAACATCCAATTCAAAATCTAATAATTTGAGCAGCAATCTTCTTAGACATCAATTTTCACTTGAACAAAACTCTCGCATTTCATCTTGCATCCCTACTCTATTTTTGCCAATGTCTCGATTGTTGTAGTATAAGAAAGCTGATGAAAGCTTTGCCATCCCTGCCAGCATGGCCGGTCTCTTGGAAGTAGGCTTTCACACAACATGGTGGCCCAATATGTATAACCTGGAGTATGTCTGGAATGTCCACACCCATCCCAATAGCTACTGTAGCAAATACAACTCTGATAATGCTTGTTCTTGAGCAAAGTTGTTTTAAGATTTCATCCTTCATCTCAACAGTTTATGGAGCATGGAATTGTGCAAAAAACCGGTTTGCAGGAATGGGCAGCAGAGCCAGGAGGGAAATATTGTTCAGCACTAAGAACATATTCAAATAGCTTATAAGCAAATCCACACAACCTCAAAGGCAAATACACAATTGTAAGTGGGTATGCAGTCTTTTCTTTCAACAGACTTTTGGCAATTGGTGTCAGAATGGATTGAATAGCATCAGCATCTTGTCCATGTCTAAACACTTTTTTATAATAGCTATTTTTCCTGTCAGGATTGGCCACAATATATTCACACTTCTTCAAGCCTAGCAACTCGTAGATAGCATTCATGTCAGTCCGACTTGCTGTAGCGGTCATGGCAAGACAGGGAACATCGGGAAAAAGTGCACACAGCACTCCTAATTTGCCATAATCTTTTCTGGTTGGTACTCCTGCAACAGTCAAAACAAAATAGAAGGTAAGTATATGATACAATAATATATTCTCTATGTTTACATGTAGTTATTTTCAGACCCCTCAACTCTCACGCATTCGGCGTGAGTCTCACGCAATTCGCTTCACTCTCACGCCAACGTTTAGTAAATCTCACGCATATAGCAGTTTCATAGTATTTTTCAATAATATAATATTGTATTCTTAAAGGCACATTATTAATCATTATACGGGTCGCAAATCGAATATATAATCGCGTGTTATTCATGTTCCTGCATAATTACGGCCCGACATTTTGCCCGCAATTTGGATACAAAATAGTACGCATATGTAAATACGGTGGTCAAAAGGAAGAATCAGTCGGAGCAGAATTCTATATGTAAATTATCAAAGGCAAATTAAAGCTCATTACTGCATGTATGTCGCAGAAATACAGTTATTGTAACTAAAGTGCCTTGTCTTAGGGGCTGATTACATGGACCGGGCCAGCCCGGTTAACCGGGCTGAAAAATATCACGAAAATCTTCCTTGGGCCGCAAAATGAGTTTTAAATCGGGTTTAGGATGATTTTGTATCTATACTAAACCAATTATTTATCACAAATTTATTTTACGCGAGTTTTAAAACCACAGTAAGGTCCTAAACAAACGAGTCAGCCCGGTTAACCGGGCCAGCTCGGCACCATGTAATCAGCACCTTAAAGGACGTTATGAAGCAATGTATTTCATTAAAAAACACCAACTCTCATCATGTACGAAATGCCATTTCAGACCCCCGGACTTTTACAAAGGGGTCATCCACATCCCCAATCTCACTCTTAATTTCTCTGCAAAGTTGCGAGGTCTGTATTTTGTATGTTTACATGTAGTTAATATAGTGCATTGTTTAGTGTGGTCACTACATGAAAACACATGTAACAAAATACAGGGTATAGTAGGTGAACGAATAATAGGATACAAATATATAGTTTTTAATACTGAATTGACCAGTGACCACACTAAATAATGCACTATATTTACTACTTGCAAACATAGAGAATAAATACATGTAAACATAAAGAATATAATATTCTCTACGAGAACAAAATCACTTATAAACAAAATAAAATATTGGATATTAAAACTGCTTGGAGTTGATTGATTGCATAAGAGGAAATGTGATATTAACCATTCAACAATACATGCAATGAGCTTCATCAACAACTATTGCAATCACACTTTCTTGGTATGTTTCACTTAATAATAACTCCCGTCCATATTTACTTGAAACCAAAGTTTCTGGATGAGCAAAAACAATATTGTAGTGACCATCGCGAAGCTTTCTTTCCTCACAAAGTCGGAAATCAATCTCGATTTCCATATTTTCATTTTTCAGATCAGTTTCATGGTCAGCGTGTTCCTTCCTCAATTCTTTCACATCAATGGCAGCTGCTCTGACACCACCGATTCTTAGCCGAGAATTAAGAGGTGATACCACTACAACTATAGCGTTTACAGCTGCCTCAGAAAAATCTTCCAATCAAACATGGTCGAGGCTGTCGAGCAGCTTTGACTTGGCGAACAACAACATTGGTAGCAGTTGGAAAATCAAAGACTTCCCATAGCCCATCAGCAAAACACACATCACATTTTCTGTAAATATACATTCTCCAGGCAAAGAACTTGCTTTGGTTTTAATATAGTCTCTTTATATAAGCTATTTAAAACAGCAAACTCTAAGCAAGTCAAAAAGGTTATGTAGTCCAACATGGCGGAATGACAAAATTATAATGGCAGCCTGTGAACAGGCTAACAAATGTAACATGATACTTTCCCCACACCCCCTAAGACAATCTATTTTTCATATGTCACATGACCAGCTCCGGACCAGGGTCTTTGCTTCACAAGAGGAAAGAGCCTGGGTACAAGGTTGAACAGTTAGCTTATCCAAAAACTCTGGTAATTCATTCTCTTGATACTTCATTTGGTCCTTTATTACTTCATTCATACATTCACTGTTGTTTTAGTAGTATGGTTGAGGAGGAGAACCTAAGCCCGCTTCTTTGTGTAGTGAAGCAAACATGTAGTTTTGCATATTGTTTGCTTTTTTGTCACAAAACCATTTGTAAAATGTTGGTTGAGAATTTTTCGTAACTTTTGCCTCTAAAGTATTCCATTTCTCTGGCAAAACAAAGATTATAGTCATACAAAGCAAAATGTTAAATGACATATATTGCACAAAATAGTCACGTCACATAAACACATATAGAAAATCATGTCTGCACTGGTTAAAAAGGGAAAAGCACTGCATGATAGTTAGCTGCAAACAGAAGCACATTGCTATCCCTTTCTGCATTGCCTAGTTCAGCACAGTACAATACTTAACAAATATAAAGTATTTTCCGTGTTGATTGATGTACTATTTAAAACACGAGTAGGAGTGTTATATCAGATATAAAACGCGAGGTGCAGCTGAGCATTTTATTTCTGATAAAACAATGACAAAGAATGTTTTGTCCCAACGAGTGTTTTGTTGTTTTGTTTTTGTTATGTTTTGTTACTAATTAGGATGAACAATTATATAAAGAATACCAATGAAGATGAGTTTTATCAGATATAAAGTTACTACACATGATATATTATTTGCCACAAGGTTTATGAATTTTTAATGAGTGTTCTAAATACAGTTATATAACTTGCAAGTGATTAACCAGGCGGGAATCGTAATCGTAGTGTAAAGATTAATGCCCAGCATAACGTACACAAAAGAGCCATATAGACAATAATATAGACATAAAATTTATTTAAGAAGTACTAACGTTTCGTCTTTATTTAAGACATCTTCAGAGTAAATGAATATAGTATGACAATGAGTTACAAATATGAATAAATTACTATTTACAATATCAAATTACAAGATAATAGGAATGCAGAGGAGGGGGGGGGGAGGGGGAGGGGGGAGGAGTTAAAGGAAAGAAGTCAGAGGAGTGAGAGGAATGGAGCTACCTTGCTGATTCAAAGTAGGTTTGAGCTTTGAGATGAGAAGACTTTCACGGATGAGAAGTTCATCTGGAGAGGAACAGGATGATAGGATCTTAAAATCATCAAGAGAAGCAGTATGACCTGAGTGGCTCAGATGGGAAAAGATGCTAGTAAGTTGAGGACTGCTACTCGTCTTACCAGTTGAGGCAGAAATACCCAGGTGTTCAGAGACTCGTGTATGTAGATCGCGGACCATTTGGCTCACATACGACGCGGGACAGCATCGACACTTAAAAGAATAAACTACACAAGACCTCAAAGCATTGGGAATTTTGTCCTTGAACATGAAGAAATTGGACAAACGTAGAGTGGGATGAAAAACGATTCTGATGTTTATATGTGGGAAGGCTACGAAGCAAAGGAGTTGAATTTGGGTACGGATTTGGAGAGAGTGTGTTCCGGTATATGGAAGACAAAAGTATACCACTTTCCTTGATACGGAATGGATTAATTCCTTGGGTTGAAAGGTTTTATCAAGAAGAGTCTAACACAACGATCAAAAAGACGAGTAGGATAACTGTTCTGGTTGAGGATTTTTCTAAGAAACTCAATCTGAGCATGAAAATTCTCATATTTAGAGCAAATATTGAAAAAGCGGTGTAATAGTGAATATATTAAACCATGTTTAAATTGTAGAGGAGTGAAGCTATGGAAATTAGTGAAAAGCCCTGTGAATGTAGGTTTACGATAAACAGAGGTTTCAAAGTGGCCATTAGTTCGTGTGATAGTAATGTCAAGGAAGGAGGGTTGACAATTGGATTCAACTTCACAAGTAAAGTTAATGTTAGGATGTTGGCAATTGAGATATGCAAGGTCCTTAGAATGGAATAGAAGGTATCGTCTACATATCGACGATATTGTAAGGGCTAAAAATTGGTAGGGCAATTATTAAGCTAAGTGGTTTCATGAAAAGATAAAAAAATGTTAGCAAATAGAGGCCCAAGAGGAGAGCCCATTGCTATGCCGTCTACCTGTTGATATAGGGAACCATTGAACAAGAAATGTCAGTTTTTGACAGCACAATTCAAAAGTTGTTTGAATTCAGAGCGAGTGAGATCATGAAAACGGATGGCATTCGAAAACAAGTGATCGGCAATGATTTCTATGGTTTCATCCAGTGGAATATTAGTAAACAAGGACGTAACATCAAAGCTAGCCATGGCAAGATTATCAGAATTAAAGTCTAGACTTAACAATTCTTGCACAAAGGAGAAAGAATCACGAACCATGAAGGCGCTAGAGCAAATAGGACTTAGAATGGGAACAAAGAACTTGGCAATCTTATAAGAATAATTATTAATACATGATAGAATTGGTCTAAGTGGAATACTGTTCTTGTGTATTTTCAGAAGTCTGTATAAGATACCAATGCGAGAGCCAGTAGGATAGAGTTGTTTATAGGTTGCTTGCGTGATCGATTCAGATTTCTTCAATGAGGCTAGAAGGTTCTTAATTTGGTTTTCACGCTGCAATGTTAATTTGACAGGATCAACATCAAGGCGTTCAAACTTGGTAGTGTCACGCAAAATATCTTCCATTTCCGGTTGTAATCACCACGGTCGAGAATGACAACTCCATTTCCTTTATCTGGCTTCACAATCACGATGTTTTTGTCCTTCTTTAAATCATCGAGTGTTTTCAAATCATCCTTAGAAAACAAAAAAACAAGAAAAAAAAGAAAAACAAGAAAAAAAAAATTTTCAAATCGTCCTTACAAAACAAGAATGAAGAAATCTGAATCGATCATGCAAGCAACCTATAAACAACTCTATCCTACTGGCTCTCGCATTGGTATCTTATACGGACTTCCGAAAATACACAAGAACAGTATTCCACTTAGACCAATTCTATCATGTATTAATAATTATTCTTATAAGATTGCCAAGTTCTTTGTTCCCATTCTAAGTCCTATTTGCTCTAGCGCCTTCATGGTTCGTGATTCTTTCTCCTTTATGCAAGAATTGTTAAGTCTAGACTTTAATTCTGATAATCTTGCCATGGCTAGCTTTGATGTTACGTCCTTGTTTACTAATATTCCACTGGATGAAACCATAGAAATAATTGCCGATCGCTTGTTTTCGAATGCCATCTGTTTTCATGATCTCACTCGCTCTGAATTCAAACAACTTTTGAATTGTGCTGTCAAAAACTGACATTTCTTGTTCAATGGTTCTCTATATCACCAGGTAGACGGCGTAGCAATGGGCTCTCCTCTTGGGCCTCTATTTGCTAACATTTTTTTATCTTTTCATGAAACCACTTGGCTTAATAATTGCCTTACCAATTTTAAGCCCTTACTATATCGTCGATATGTAGACGATACCTTCCCTTCTATTCTAAGGACCATATTCCTCTTTTTCTTGCATATCTCAATTGCCAACATCCTAACATTAACTTTACTTGTGAAGTTGAATCCAATTGTCAACTCTCCTTCCTTGACATTACTATCACACGAACTAATGGCCACTTTGAAACCTCTGTTTGTCGTGAACCTACATTCACAGGGCTTTTCACCAATTTCCATAGCTTCACTCCTCTACAATTTAAACGTGGTTTAATATATTCACTATTACACCGCTTTTTCAATATTTTCATGCTCAGATTGAGTTTTTTAGAAAAATCCTCAACCAGAACGGTTATCCTACTCGTCTTTTTGATTGTTGTGTTCGACTCTTTCTTGGTAAAACCTTTCAACCCAAGGAATTAATCCATTCTGTATCAACGAAAGTGGTATACTTTTGTCTTCCATATACCGGAACACACTCTCTCCAAATCCGTACCCAAATTCAACGCCTTTGCTCTGTAGCCTTCCCACATATAAACATCAGAATCGTTTTTCGTCCCACTCTAAGTTTGTCCAATTTCTTCATGTTCAAGGACAAAATTCCCAATGCTTTGGGGTCTTGGGTAGTTTATTCTTTTAAGTGTCGATGCTGTTCTGCGTCATATGTGGGCCAAACGGTCCGCCACCTACATACACGAGTCTCTGAACACCTGGGTATTTCTGCTTTAACTGGTAAGACGAGTAGCAGTCCTCAACTTACTAGCATCTTTTCCCATCTGGGCCACTCAGGTCATAGTGCTTCTCTTGATGATTTTAAGATCCTATCCTGTTCCTCTCCAGATGAACTTCTCATCTGTGAAAGTCTTCTCATCTCAAAGCTCAAACCTACTTTGAACCAGCAAGGTAGCTCCATTCCTCTCTCACTCCTCTGACTTCTTTCCTTTAACTACTCCCCTCCTCTGCATTCCTATTACCTTGTAATTTGATATTGTAAATAGTAATTTATTCATATTTGTAACTCATTGTCATACTATATTAATTTACTCTGAAGATGT